ACCACTAGAACTTGAAAGGTAGAGCCCATATATTTATTTGGTCTCATTGAAGGGATATGCGAATACAGCAGGATTTATTTGGTCTACACAGATATATGTCCAGACTATGCACGATGTATAAAAAGATTACAGTCATGCCTTCAAGTTGCTTAACCAAGGATAATTTGAGGTTGTAACAAGATGGAATGGTCTCACCTTGATCTCGTGGGTTCTCTCGAGTTCTTGGGCTTGACTTGGATGAGTACAGACGGGAATATCCAACGCGAACCTCTCTAAATAGCGTGCACGCTCTAACTAAAACTCAACTCAAACGAACGTCTCAACAGCAACAAGTAACAAGTCCTAACTTGAACATCCGGGGTCTTAACCTCTGACCCCAAAACCTGATTACACTGTCCTCCCCCTATGAAAAGACACGTCCTCGTGTCTATATATTCAACCTATCGGGGGGTCTCACTCTTCTTTGTGATCGTGTCTTCTTCTTAGTCGGAGGGGGTGCTGGGGCATCGCACACGTTTTGTGTGGTGTCCTCATTCATGTAGCAGTACCACTCTGCCTCTGGGTCGAGACCAGCGGCTTCCCGGGCAGTGATCTTTCTCCAGCTATCGCAGGAGTTACACTGTACCCAATCCTGCGGGGTCTCCGGCTCCTCAGCTTGGACGGCCTCACCCTGTAACTCCCCTGCCTCCGCAACTTCGGTGTCCGCAACTTCTGTCTCCGGACCCGGTTCTCCCTGATCTTCAGGCTCACTCACGCAGTATTTCTTCAGCCTGTTAAAATGCACCACCACTCTCTGTCGTCCTCCCACTCGCTGGATTCTATAGGTAACCTGAGAGAGTCTCTTTACAACTCGGTATGGCCCTTTCCATCTAGGAAAGAACTTTTTGGTCAGCCCTCTTGGTACAGCGGGGACAGATAACCACACCTGGTCTCCCACTGTGAATCCTTCCCCATGACACTTCCTGTCATACACATCCTTCTGCCTTCTATGCGCTGTACTCAAAAGTTCCCTGGTCCTCTGGTAGACCAGCTTCAGTTCTTCCCTCACGTTCTGCGCATACCTGCTGCTGCTTGTAGGTCTCTGTGGTCGGGGCACCGGCCAAAGGATATCTGTTGGCACTCTAGCTTCCTCACCATATGTCAGGAAAAATGGTGTATAGCCCGTACTTGTGTGTACACTTGTCCGGTATGCGAATAAAGCAGGCTGCAACCGGGTGTCCCAGTCAGAGTGGGTATCATTAACGTACATAGACAAGATACCACACACAGTCCGGTTGAACCTCTCTACCATTCCGTCCCCCTCGGGGTGGTATGCCGAAGTTCGTGACTTGCTGATACAGAGTTCTTCACACAGGGTCTTGACTAGCTGAGAATCAAAATTCTTCCCCTGATCACTATGTAGCTGATAAGGAACACCGAACCTGGAAATCCACGTCTCAATCAGTGCTCGGACGACCGTTTTGGCTTCTTGGTTAGGCGATGCAACAGCTTCCACCCATTTCGTCATATAATCAGAAATGACTAAGATATGCTTATTTCCCCTCGTTGTCTCTGGAAGAGGCCCCATAAAATCCATTGCCACCCGTTCCCACCGGTACCCTGGGGCTGAGGGCACCAATGGAGCTCTTCGTTTCCGCGATCCAGCTTTCCTCTTGGCGCACTCACCACATCCTTTCACAAATACCTCAACATCTGTGCCCAGTCCGTACCTGAGTAAAATCTCTCCCCTTCAAACTGTTGGGTTCTATCACAGTAGAGACAAAACCTCTCCATCCAGGGTTCGCATCTTGTAGACGTCCAGGAACAACGGCCTCGTGGCGCCCGGGGATGACCACATCCTCTGCCAAGCCCACCTTGCACACGTTAGGTTGTACTGCCATGACTTTCAACGGGCAGGATCTACCCCTAACAGAAATAGTTGCTCCTGCAATATCAACCACAGCGCTGACAGAGGTCATGAAGTCCATTCCCAATAGGCATCGTTCTTGCAAACCTTGCACCACAAATACTCTCCTACGGACCTCCACACCTTGCACCTGTAGACTCACAGTCACTGATCCTAACACTCTGAGTAGACCCCCTCCAGCAGAAACAAATCTCTCTAGACTGTTCTTCAATGGCACCCTGCCTCCCTCTTCCCACACTGATCTATCGACGCATGAGGGACCTGCTCCAGGCCTGTGATGAATAAGTTCACCCCCATTTTCTCCCGTTCTTCTCCGTCAGTGTTTGGATAGCCGTACATCAACAGGCCCCTTAGTCGTATTTCGTAGTCGGTCAAGGATTCCTGTGACTTTCTATGGAAATGCAGCAGATCGTCTAGTGCTCGTTGTTTCTTTTCCCCTATCCCGAATCTGTCCGACATTGCCCTGTGTAATCCCAACAGATTACCTGTGATGTCGTCCCCCAAACTTTCCGCATACTCCAACGCCGGGCCCTCCAAATGCAACATCAGGCAGATCGGATAGTTCTCCGGTTTCCATTCTTGCAACCTTGCCATCCTTCTGAACTGGCTATACCAGGAGTTAAAATCCGCGTTTTTGCCGGAAAACTTGACAAGTTTGATTTCCGCACGTGTTGCCATTTTTCTCTGAACTCTCTTTGTGCCGCTGTTTGGAACTCGAATCGCCCGCTTCTGACACCAATGTAACAAGATGGAATGGTCTCACCTTGATCTCGTGGGTTCTCTCGAGTTCTTGGGCTTGACTTGGATGAGTACAGACGGGAATATCTGACGCGAACCTCTCTAAATAGCATGCACGCTCTAACTAAAACTCAACTCGAACGAACGTCTCAACAGTAACAAGTCCTAACTTGAACATCCGGGGTCTTAACCTCTGACCCCAAAACCTGATTACATTTATGACAATTTACCACATTTGTGGAAGGATTGACGTAACAGGTGACTATCACCTCTTCAAGATGTCAACCCTGAGACCAGACTGTAATGTTTGAACCACTCACACCGGGAAGGCCCCCTACTCTTTTCGATAAGTGTGATGGAATCTTTAACGTGTGTGGGATGTGGTTCTTCCAAACACGGGACCTCCATTTAACGTCCTATCCGAGGGACGTCCCTAGCCGAAGCTAGGTACTCATTTTCACCTGAGTGAAGTGAGGAAAGTCATGTAAAGTACCTTTCCCAAGGGTACAACGTCGCGGCGCATGTTCGGATTTGTTCAGGTACGACCCGGAATCGAACGCGGGTGTCCCCGTTTCATAGTCCAGTGATGTACCACTACACCACACGACGCCACTGATGTTACATGTACTTCGGTATGTTGTAGTAAAAATATCTTTAAGCACACTATTTCTCAAGGTGGCGATATTATGGACCCTGGTGATATTATGGACACAGATGTTACATATGTTTATAGTTTGCTTTTAGAATATTTGAAGCTTGAGTATAATCAGTAGTTATCAAGTGGTTGCTCAAAAAAAGACTTTTATTAAAAGTTTTAAACAGTGTCTCTACAATTATATTTCAGAGTAAGAATGGTCAGCAGATCGTTGCCAGCTATGCAAGGTCACCAGATGAGTCCAAATACAAGTATGGCAGCTTGTTCTCCAGAATGCTGCGGCGAACATGGCCAGCAACCAACGATGGAAGAACACCACCCACAGACTTGAGGCTCCTTCAACACATGCTCACATGGCAACCTTGTGCTGGGATCCTCAAACTCTTTGGTAGGTGGTACAAATGTATAATACAAAAGTCATGTAGCACGCTGTGGTCAGCAAAACAATAAGTCATACTGTGCCTAAGCGAAATCTGGATTTTTTTACAGTTTTCATTGAAAGTTTGGTCAACATTGCATCTGATGCCCGTTGCAGACAATATGATCTTTTCTGATACTACAGTATATTAGAAAACTGCATACAGGATCATCCTTAAATACATGAATACGAACTTCAAGAAGATGTTCTTCCAATAAAGAAAGTGCTATGCATAAGTTTCATACAGGCACAGTACGTTCGGGTAACTGTAAAAACCGGGGCCCCTTCGGGCCCAGTTTGAGTAATCTGCAACAATGCAACAAAATGAGGAACAAAATTAATACGCAACTAGAAAGGCCAATATTTGCTTTGGAGCAAATACAGCGATGGGTTCACCACATTTTACGACATGGCAGGGAAAGAATGAGAAACACAAGGGAAAACAATGATTTACATTGATATAACTATAATATGAAGTAAAATACAACTAAAACAAGAAGCCATAGGCGACAATTCTCCGTGAAGTATTATATATTGCAACAAAAAGAAGTAGCCATTGGCGACAATTCTCTGTGAAGTGTGATAAATCGAACAAAGAAAAATTGTTTAAACGCGCGTCGGCTCAGTCATCTTAAGACGCAACAACCAATCAGAGATGCGAGATGCCTACACGTGACGCGGGAAGGGCGCGCGATGCCCGAAATATTTTTGCGTCAATATTCAGCGCCGTGATTCAAGAGATTAATACCCGGAAACAATTTTTTTCTTGTTTTGAACGCATTAACATGCATTTACGCTAATCTAGTATGATTCAGGGTTACTTTTTTTTTAACCTGCCATGGCCAGATTATCTAAAGCTGTGTGTATTATGTGTACAATCTATAGAAAGAGAAATGTACATCAGGTCCGATCATCCGATTTTCACGTTTCGGTTTTTTGGACTCGGTTCATGAACGTATTTTGGTTTGGCTCCTGGAATGTGCGAAAAAAAATGACTCCCGGGACTGTCTACAGGGAACACTCGCACATTCGCGGTGTATCAGGACAGCGCGACTGGTCGTCATTAGCGCAGTAACAGTTGCATAAACGGACGAAACCATTTCAAAGAAATGGGGATGTTTCGAAAATAAGCACTTACTCCAATATCAAAACAGCTACGGTAAAAATAAAAAGACGTGCATCATCCCGGACATAATGCAACACCACATGCGAAATTACACAGAAATGCGACGTACGGAAGAATGCGTTTTGGCTGCGAACATCTTCCAAAAAACTTGGCATCTCTTAACCATGGGCAAAAAAATCTGGAACCACTTATAAAAACCACCCCGTATCTGCATGAACTTTTTTTAACCCCACTGCTATTCCAAACAACGCGTTTTTCTGGACCATTCCAATTCGCCTCGTAATTGTAGGGGTGCGTCTGCGATATTACATTGACCGCGAAAGCAGCAACGGCAAAAATACACATTCGTGCATCAACACGGGCATGCCCGCAGAAGGCGTATAAAATTGCGTGCCGATTACACAAAGAGAACCCAGTGTTTTGACTGCGAACATGAAAAATCAGCCGATTACAACACTCCGTCCGGAGGTCCTGACCTCCTTCACGGAGTAACAACAGTTGGATAGCTTTTCCCTACTTTATTGGTTAGGATTTTTAATTGCATAATGCAAACTGTTGATTTCAAAATAAAAAAAAAAACGTCCATGCCCCGCATTCCAATGCTGGAGCAGGAAAGCTTGAAATCCCTACCAAAACACTTGAATACAGACATACTGTCAGTATGGAAATGCTCTGTGCAGGTGTTAATCAAGTTAAATCCCAACAGCCAATCAGCAAGAAATGCTCTGTGCAGGTGGAAATGCTCTGTGCAGTCTGTTAATCAAGTTAAATCCCAACAGCCAATCAGCAAGAAGAATAGAGGAAAGCTGCATGCCTATTGGTTGATGCCCTGCATTCCATTGTGATGACTCATGCCCAAACGTGGTAAACAAGGCACACTAACACAGTAATACATTTGCTATAACACAGCCAAAAAACTCAAATAAAACCATTCTAAAAGCCTGTATCACAAAAATTTAAAAAACGCCTAGGGGTATTTGCCCACTGTACCTCCATACCAAATTTCAGGACCTCGGGCCCTAAAATGAAGAAGCTGAATCCATTTAAAAAATGGCAGGAGAAGAAGGAGAAGGAGAAGGAGGAGAAGAAACATCAGAAAAAGCAATATGCATTCACCACCACTTCGTGGTGTGGTGAACCCATAATAAAGTGAGGCATAGACGTTTTCCGACAGCGAGCAGAGGTTTCTCGGGTAGCAACGTACGAATATGACTGTAGTTTCAACAAAACTTTACATGTAGCTAGCTCCTTTAATTTTCATCACGTCGACCGCCCTTCAAGTTTGTACATGCGCCCCCCTCCCCCTGTTTTGGTGCCGGAAAATAGAATTTCTGATTCTTCTTGAAACATGTACTAGGTACTAGTATTTTTCAAGGGCATTATCCTTGATATTTTCTTATGTATTTTCTGTAATAAACTACGCACATATAATAAATTACGCACCCCGGCTCAGACCAGACGCGGCCACCGCAAAACCCGGTATTACTAAGTATTATGCACCCTTCTCCACGTGTCCTACCTCATGTGAAAATCTACATGGAAGCAAGAACCGGAGAAATGGTTGATCGAAAACATATTTGAATCATTTGTATAGTAATTATTTTGCAGAAGAAAGGGAGCCCCATTGGTAAGTACCTGAGTATACGTATGCTACCCGTCTTTTGAAGTCACAATATCTATCATCACCGACGTCGACGACATTAAAGACCAACACACTGGGTAGAATGTGCAATCTCGGCAGTGAAGACTACGGGTGGAAATAAGGTTTGTATAAAGTTAAACTTTAAATTAAATTTGAAATTAAATGTATCCCGATAATATCACTGCCTTATTGTAAATCTATACGAGTATCAGACTACAGATTAGCGGCATCGTGCCGCCAAAGTGCCCACTTACCGAAAGGAGCCGCTCTGTGTGTAACCAGATATCATGTCTTCCCGCCAAGTATGCAAATCTTGCAGGAAGTCTTCGTGTTACCACCCCACCCCTCCACCCGCAGCTGTCCCCCTGTCAAATCAGGAAACAAAAATCCCGCTATCAAATACAACCCTGTATTAAACATTTATGATCGCAGCGATTATGTTGACAAAATATTTTTGGATGATACATGTGTATGTACAAGATGTGCCCGCATTTCAGTTGTCGGAAGCGGCGTGGGTGTGGCGTGCACCGGGCACGATACATTTCTTTGTTGGGCACCGTGCACAACAGCATCATCGGTGTCTCGTAATATTATTTTTGATATCAGTCTAACTATAATACTCCTAAATACCGTACGTTTACGGCTGAGTCTGCTTGCTGACGGATGGGGGCCTGTTGAAGTTTTTCGCAAGGTCAGCGGCTGTCTTGGTATCGTATGATATTCCTTTTGAAATCTCAATTACAATTGTCATTTCTACATGATATATCTATGATATATTCCTTTATTGAAGTATAGTGTTATGATATGTAAACAAAAACAGTCGCGTGCGGGTGGCGCTATATACACTCACGGAATATACACTACAAACTCCACATGTGCGTTGTGCCGCTGGCTTTCAGACTGCAATAATTTTTGCGATCCACTTCCAATTTTTCCGGGTAGCAGCCTGCATAAAATTATGCACCCTGAGTTTGAGTACAACTGGAGACACCTGCTTAGAAAATGAAAAGTAAGAAAAGTGCGTAGTTTGTTACAGAAAATACGGTAGCAATTTAACGAGGTGGGGTTTAACATGGGTTACATCAAGGACGTTCTACAAGATTTGTGGTCACAGTCAGATCACTCTGCAAACGGGGCCCCGGTTTTTACAGATACGGGGCCCCGCGGGGTATTGACGGGACCCGGTTTTTACAGTTACCGTTCTGCTGACATGTAGTTTGTGTGTACATTCGGTATGCACAAGCATGTGGACTGCTTTTACATGTAGATGTACCCAATAAACTGCTTAGCTTTTACATGTAGATATACCGAATAAAGTGCTTAAAGTTAAATTTATTGTTGATTTTTGACATCTAGGATTTTCTTTACTATTTGGTGGCTATGGTTCGTGCAGAGCTGTATGAGCTTTATGATTTTCTCCTTACAGTTGCTTGTACACAACTAACTTATAGCTCCATTAATTTTGTACAGGAGAGGCATCAGATCTGGCGAATTTCCTGAATGAGGACAGCCAAACCCACATTGCCTCCTACAAATCCCTCCTGGGCACAGCAGTCCAGGAGCTCACAAAAGGCAGCATCATCATCAGCCACCTCCAGCTCCTCCTGCAGCACAGGAAACAGTTCCTAGAACTCTGCAATGCCGTGGCTGTCAGGAGTACAAAGGAAGAACAGGAAGATAAAGCCAGGAAGGCCAAAGGAAGTGGGAAGCATGATGCAAGCATGGTAGTAAGAGTGGGAGATACTGCCTGGCCTGTCAAGCAGCTAGAGAAGGTCCTGGACTGGAGAGGAAAGGAAATGGAAGCAATCAAGACGGAAACAAGGCAGATTGAGTGTTTCCTCAGCATGTGTGAAGACATCAAACCAGGTGAGAAATCATTGTTTTGCCAGAATGACTAATTATAGTGAAGTTCAAAGTTTGATTTTTTTTGTAGAAGGAAACATAATTGTTTTTGCTAATTCCTCTCCAAGCAAATAAAGTCAATGACCAGATGGCTGTCACCATGACAACTGGTGTTGTAGCAGACACTCTGGGGTATTGGATTACATTATGTAGCAATGGCAGGACAGAATTGGACGGGCTGGCCGCCATAGAGTGGGAATTAAAAGAGCAGCTACAGTTAGGCTAGACTACATGTATGTGATGCTTCCGTTCTAGTTGTTATATATTAAATTGAATTGAATGATCCTACATGTGACTGAAACATGAAGAAGCAGCTTTATCAGAAGTTGTCATACATGTATCTTCTCTCTTATTGCAGTTACCTGTGAAGATCTGGAGCAAAAGGTCCGAAGAGACAAATCAACCATGTCCCTGAATGAGCTGTGTCAACCGGTGGCTGGTGACAACATTGTCAAAGTTTCCTTTGACCTAACTCAACCACCCAACGTCACCTACTTTGGCATCACTTCCGAGTTCAGGGAGATGTTGACCCTCCTGGAAAATCTCAGCAAATGTACCGTCTTCAACAAGATCTGGGAGAAGATGAGACCAACACAGGCTGGTGAAGAAGAGGAGGCCCTCCCCGCACTTTCTGTGGATGGTGTTCTCAGCCAAGTGTGGACGCCCGTCTACCAGAAGTGGCTGGAACTGCGCCAGAACGTCAAAGATGGGAAGATCACGCTTCAGGATGTAGACGAGACGTTTGGGCAGTTCAAGAACGAGTACAGGAAGCTTGAGAACGAGCTGAAGATGCTGGCGAAGAATCCGAGTGAGGGATGGGTCAAGGAGCGTGTGCTACAGATAGAGCAGTACCACCAGCTGAACAAGCACCTGGACGCAGCAGATGTGGTGAAAGACGTCAAGGAAAAGTACAATTTGAAGGGAGACTTCAAAGGAGTGGAGATCCTGCTGCATTCGGTATGTAAACTATCCATGTACAAAATGTACTCTGCATAATTATGTTGTATGTGATGATGATTGTATTCTTTGAGAAATATACAGATTGTAGATAGCTGCTAGCATGCTGCTGATGTCTTTTTTTTCTTAATGACAGTATTTAGAGACAGGGTTGGAAATACCACCCGCATAATTATGCATGTTTGTGCAGGTAAGATTTGTTGTGCAATTATTTCTGATGTCTACCTGCACCAGCACCAGTCTATGTACTGGGTTTATATGGATTTTCATCTTTCATTTACTGCATTGACTGTCACCACCTGAAACAATAATAATTTCAGAACAGTTTTTAGTGTGATCCATAACTCTTATATGCTGTGCACTACATTCTGATATGTACCTGTGATGGTATCTCTTGTATAGAAAGCCACAAACTTCAAGCAGAATCCACTGAGTTCCATCAACAGGAAAGTGGTGAATGCAGGGAAACTGCTGACAGAGATGACAGAGGAGAAGATAGAGAGCCTCAGGAAGTTTGTCAAGTGTCAGCGACTGGTGGACTGGCTGAGAACAAAGATCCATGGTGTGTTGTTAATCCTTCAAGATGTAACAATAAAAGTTATGTATGTTCACTTGCTATAAATCATAAATGATCTGAAACTAAATGTGGTTGTGACATTGAGACATACATGTACATGTATTGGCTCCTCAAATTTGGAATACTGTACATACCGGGTACTGTAATTTACGATTCTTCCCAGTTTTATGATTTTTATATTCTTGGTCACTTCTGTATTGCAAACATATCACTTACCCTGAACAAACAATTTGCCGACTTTCTTTCTGCTGCACCTGTCGCCACCGCAAATGTAATACTTCTGCGAACGTGTCAATTTTTCTCAGACTGACAACTTTTGCTACGGTAAAAATAACCTTGAACATAAGTAGATTTACAGTATACATATATTTCCAGTACAGAAGATATTACCTGTACATGTATGTCCAAAAGAGGACAGTGGCAAATTATGATTTAGAAATAAAAACAGGTAATGAAATATAAGGACTGGTCATTTTTTATGTCCAGTTTTGTACTTTGATTTACATTGTATATGGTAATCACAATCCTCTTACTTACAGATACGAAGGAACTGAAGGTGCTTGTGGACCTGGCCAGCATCTCAGCTGGAGAGAGTGACATCGAGGTGGACAAGGTGAACTGCCTCCTGTCTGCCGGGGTGGGATATGCACCGCTCATCTATGACCTGGACGAAGACTCCAACTTTGACACGCTGATGAAATGCTGCCGGCAGTTCTGGGCCGCCCTGGAGAAAGACAAACACCTGCCCAAGAAACTGGTCAGAATTTCTTTAGGCCACTTCAATTCACTTTGTTGGTTCTCTTTTTACATAAAAAGATAGCAAGCAGACATCATAAAATGAGAGGGCTAGGAAGAAAACTAGAGTATGGCTGTATTTACTACATAACACTGAGTCCACCGAGGCATCAACCAGGTCCTCAGACTTTGCCTTCATTAGGTTTTTCCTGTTAACCATATTTTCAAAAAATCTGAGAACCAACAAATCAATTGGTGTGGTCTTAATGATAGTGCCCTCGCCCCTGATTCACAATTTGCCTTGCATTGATGCTGCTTGCAATATCTTCTTCTTCAAAGCGTGTCAGCATAACATTCTGCATCTGTGTGAAACCCTGGTTTTCACAGTGAATTTTGCCCGTTACTGGGATCCTTAAATAAGTGTGTACGCAACAAGCTATTCTGTAGGATAAATTACAGGTTTCCTGCATATGTTCTGCCAATGTGCTCCTGTTCAAAATCTTAAACTTTAGTATGCACACCTGTAATGTGGAGGCAACATATAGTTTTCTGGCAGTATTGCCATCATACCTGTTAGTCAATGTGACAGTTGTTTAATATCCTTTTACATTCCAGATGGACACCTGTCGTAACCTGGAGTGGCTGAAGGGTGTGAGTGACTCCCATGGTCCTGTGGAGATGTCCTCCCTGTCTCAGACAGAAGCCATCAATGCCAGGGGTGTCTACCAGATCGGATGCTTTGGGCAAAATCAGTCTCTGGTACGCTGATATGCTAGTACTTAGGGACTGTACGATATTTACCGGGGAGGGAAAAATTTTGAATTTCAACCCATGTTTTGCATGTTAAGGGGAAAATTTGGCAGCACAAATTTCGCTGGTACATCGAGCTATTAATCCTATATCTAGCCTACCTTTCGTTCACGAACTTCTTCCGCATTACATTTATTACAAACAGGGAAACAATATTGCCAAGTTACATGTTGTTTTCAATTAACTTTTGAGGGACATAGATATAATGTTAAAATAGTCCTTGGTTATATAAAAATACCAAATTAATGCGCTGACATCCACGCCGAGAAGTTTGAGTAAGTTGCGAGGCGGGACCAGCGGGACCTTTGGCGACGCACGCACACCACTGGGAAGGGTGCATTGAACGGCGAAAATTAATTTTCAGAATCTTCCAAGAAGCCTTCCCTACATTTTTGACCGGTATCGTTTCGATAGCCACGATTTACTGTAGAAATAAAGTTTGTTTATTTGAGTTTTAGGCCGCATACCAAAGCAGAGCGTAACTAATTAAGACCAGGCGTACCGGAGGCAGGTCCGGGATCATTCCCGGCCTGCCAGCGCAAGAAGCGGTGCGGAAAATGTCGGCTTTCCAGTTTGAGGAGTGGGCCAAGGCCTCGAAACTGATTGAAAACACAGTCAAGGCCATGGCCAAGGCCGAGCTTCACGAACGGGAAGCTCTCCTGTGTGTCACGACTGAGATGCTGAGGGACCTGGACCTCTCCGTGGGGCAGTATGCACTGCTCTGCCGGGCAACCAGAAACCTGCAGACGGCGGCCGGGGCGACGGCCGGGGGGGCCAAGCCGAAAAAAGTTACCCTGGACGACCTCAAGTCCGACCAGGAACTGACGGCCCTCCTGGTCCAGGTGGAGGGAGCCGATGACCTGTTGACGGACGCCACAGGACAAAGCAAAGCCGCAGCTGACGATCAGTCCTTCTACCTGAACAGCGGTGCGCCTGAGAAAGGTGAGAAACCACTACTTATTCCGGAATTCGTAGACTCCTTCTCACAACCGGAAAACGACCACGAGGTCGCGCGGGATGGTAACACATCCATCATTCTCCGCACGTCCCGCTCACGACCTAAAGTAGAAACTATCAAGATACCGGCTTGGTCTGCGGCCAATGCGAAGATAATGGCCAAGCTCATTCAATCTAACAAGCTAGCTACAAAGCAGGACGTAGAAGACTATCTGGCTTACACTATCAAAGTGTCAGAGCTTCTCGAGGTGTTCGACGTCCCGTCCGTGATGCTGTATGACAACCAGTATAGGATTCTACAGAATCGGCACGGTTTCCGCTGGGGGAGGGACTCTGAGCATCTGCACTCCCGCTTCCTGAGGACCAGGATGGCACAGTCTACCCGAACCCAGCAGCGCAAACCCACCCCATCCCGTGCGAAGACAGCAGAGGGTCAGGAAATCTGCTTGAACTTCCAAAACCCCGGCGGGTGCAGGCGGCCTTCGGGCACATGTCAGTATGCACATGTCTGCATCACCCCGGGCTGCGGCGAGCCCCACCCCCAGTGCGAGCATGCCAGGCGGGCGAAGATATAGCAACTCGTGGACAGCCCTCTACACCTCGCGACATGGGCTTCAGAATTGGCGGAGGACGAAGACAAAGATTTTCTCTTAGACGGACTGTCAGACGGTTTTCGGATTATCTCTGAGGATCAAAACATCACCCCTGCGGAGTGCGACAATTATAAATCTGCTACTGACCCTAATACTCGAGCTAAAGTTGACGCGCAACTTCGCGAAGAACTGCGTAAAGGAAACTACGAACAATGCACATCAAAACCGACCATTATCAGCGCCCTCGGTGCCATTCCTAAGAAGGACTCTGCGGACATAAGGCTTATACATGACTGTAGCCGACCTGAGGGCTATGCTCTGAATGATTACATTGAGGCCGAACACTTTAGTTATCAAACAGTGGATGACGCTATCGACATGTTACAGACAGGATCCTTCATGGCGAAGATAGATTTGAAAAGTGCGTACAGATCAGTGCCCATCCACCCGTTCTAACCACAAGCGCGACAGGACTCAAGTGGCGATTCGACGGTGACAGTGAGTTCTCCTATCTCTTCGATAAACGTTTACCTTTTGGCGCCCGACGTAGTCCTTATATTTTTAATAGACTTACCCAAGCTGTGAAACGTATGATGCAGCGTCGTGGCTTTCAAACAATCGTAGTATATCTTGATGACTTCCTGATCATTGGCTCATCGTATGACGAATGCATGCTGGCTTTCCGAACACTTATTGAGCTACTGCTACAATTAGGCTTCGAGATCAACTGGCGAAAGGTAACCTATCCCACGCGAATATTGACCTTTTTGGGTGTAGAGATCAATGCGATACAGCGAACTCTTTCCCTACCGGCGAACAAACTAGAAGAATTGCGGACATTACTGCGTGAAACTTGCGGGCGGAGGAGCGTGTCAAAGCGGGAACTCCTGAGTTTATTGGGAAAACTCAACTGGGCGTCAAGAGTTGTGCGGGGCGGCAGAACGTTTATGCGGCGGCTTATAGACTTATCCAAAACAGTGCGGAGACCCCACCACCGGACAAAGTTGACGAGCGCAGCGCGGGCGGATCTCAGATTGTGGGAAGACTTTGTGCAAACCTTCAATGGCGTATCGTATTTCGTGGACAGCGAGCCCATCAGTGCAGGGCAAATCAACACGGACGCGTGTGACGACGGGGGAGCGGGTTTCTTCAACGGCGATTGGTTTTACGTTAACTGGACCCTGGATGACCCCTCCCTGCGTGCGTGCCACATCAACGAGAAAGAACTGTACACGATTCTTCACGCGGTGCGGCGTTGGGGCCCTACGTGGGCCAACAAACGGGTTCACGTGTTCGCGGACAGTGACAGTGCAGTGCGCGCTATCAACAAAGGCACGTCCCCGTCACCTGCGTTTATGCCTCACATACGGGAACTCTTCTGGCATACGGCAGTAAACAACTTCGTCCTGACAGCGCACCATGTGAAAGGCTCAGATAACACACTCGCGGACGCCTTGTCGCGGCTAACCGACCCCACATGTGCCACCCATGCACATTCCAGACTTCAGCAATGGAATGACCAAAACGGGCATGTCCCACAAGTGAAGTGTGACCTGCCACATGTGTCCACTAAAACTCTGTCTATTCTACCCTCCCAGGCGTCCTGGATAGCGAAGCATCCCTAGACGCGGACATCCGGTTCTACCGTGCAGGGACCTACGCGGACTCTACTAAAGCAACGTACAAATCTCAGCGCCGGGACGTATCTGCGGTTTTGCCTGTATCATCAGTATGCTCCAGTTCCGACGACAACTAAAAACCTCTGCCGATATGCGGTGTTTCTAGCGAGAACCCTCAAGTACTCCAGCATTGTAAACTACCTGAATATTGTGCGTATCTTACATCAAGAGGCGGGGTTTGACAACCCTCTGCAAAGTAACTGGCTCCTGCAAACCACGTTGCGCGGGATTCGCCGTATCCATGGTGATAGCGTCAGGCAGAAGCTTCCCATTACCCGGATGTATTACGCGCCATCTACGCCCGGCTGGACCTCACCCAGGCCAAACATGTGGTCTTCTGGGCCGCGTGTCTGGTGGGATTCTTCTCATTCTTCCGGAAATCAAACCTGCTGCCTAAGACGGCAGGAAGCTTCAACCCTGTCAAGCAACTATGCCGCAAAGACTTCCGATTCTTCGCGTGGGGTGCAGTGATCAGTGTCCGATGGAGCAAAACAATACAATTCCAGGAACGGACCCTTCAGATACCCATCCCCCGTGTTCCTGGCTCCCCCCTCTGCCCTACAACAGCCCTGGAGAAAGCGTTCTCCATTACATCCGCAGCGAACCCAGACGGGCCGGCCTTCGTTCTCCCCCAGGAAACGGGGTCGGATTACTTGCCGCTGACACACCAACCGTTCGTGACTTTGTTACGGCAGCTGTTACACCTGAGCGGATACCCGCAGACCAAGTACAGCGGACACAGCCTTCGTCGCGGCGGCGCGACTTGGGCTAGCGACTGTGGCGTCCCAGCCGACCTAATCAAGCTGCAGGGAGACTGGAAATCGAACGCTTACCAGCGATACACAACTGTAACACTTAAAGGACGTTTGTGGACTGTCCGAACAATGGCGCAGGCCCTAGTATAGGATTAGCATTTTTACTGATTATAGTGTAGAAATTAGATCTCTACCGTAACCCTTGGTTAGGGCTCCTTTCTGTTATGTAAGTTTTAACCACCTGCATGCGTATACTCCTTTATCTCTGACTGGGGGTTTGGAGAAAAATTTTGTATTATCATTGTTATTTTTAATAAAAATGATACCCCCCAGTCAGGCGTCGTACTTTTATGCCTAGATTAAATGTAGAAATAAAGTTTGTTTATTTGAGTTTTAGGCCGCATACCAAAGCAGAGCGTAACTAATTAAGACCAGGCGTACCGGAGGCAGGTCCGGGATCATTCCCGGCCTGCCAGCGCAAGAAGCGGTGCGGAAAATTACCCACCCGCCCACTACCAAAACGTAACGATAGAATTTATTTAACATACTTGTATATAATCACCTTGTGTATACTACATACTACACCTTCTCCATAGGAGAAAAATTTTGTATTATCATTGTTATTTTTAATAAAAATGATACCCCCCAGTCAGGCGTCGTACTTTTATGCCTAGATTAAAGTGATTTTAATCCAATTGTACTTTGGCTGTATAGTCAAGTCTTGGCAAAAATGCAAGATTTTGAAGGGGACTGTGGGAGATTTGGTCGAATCCATTATAATAAGGGATTATTGGAATGTAAAATTCTGCCAATTCCAATGACCGGCAACTCGCTATGATAATTATGTATGGGACAGACGTTAATCATGTTTTGAAATTGTATAAAACGTTGTAGAGTTAAAGGGATCTTGAAAAAAAAATTTACCTAGGCCCTCCCCAATTGCAAATTAAAATATTTTTTCCTAAGCCCTCCCCCCGGCTCAAATTTTTTTCCTAGGCCCTTCCCCCTCAGACGACCGGCCCTACCTTCCCAGTAAATATCGTACAGTCCCTTAGTACATGTACCTCTAGGAGGTAGTAAAATGCTTTGTAGTGTAATTCCTAGCACGTAAAGCAGTAATTCCTTTGCACATGCATTGTATAGCAGTGTAGAAAATACTACATTGTATATTATGTTAGTGTAACATGGAAGGATGCAAGTCACTTCTTCAAGCTTCTTTCAGAATGTGGAAAATGAAAAGGTGACAATCATTGTATGTTTATAGTCACTGATACATGTATGTTGCATCAGCAAGCTTGTGAAAAGTTTAGGCCACACAGATTGAATCATCAGAGTTCTTGAATTTGGCCGCTTCCCTTTTTTCTGATTTGCAAAAGAAAAAGAAAACATTTTGTCCACAGTCCAAGAAAGTCCTTATCTTCCTAGGTTTTCCATCTATCAATTCAGTGGATTGATTGAAAGTTTATAGTTCATTACATTGCAAACCAGCCTGGCATGTTGATTTTGTGGTTTCTATCATATCATTAATGGCTATCATAAGATGCCTAGGCCTGCTTTTTTCTTGTTTTGCTCAGTCCTGAGAACTGACAAATTAAATTGCCCTGCATGGCTTTATGGTAATTCCAATAAATATATCCTAAACGAATTTTTCTTCAGAATGACCTGGAGTCGGTGGTCCGATTGCAAGTAGAAGGAGCGGAGTTTGAGGATGATGATGATGAAGACATGGCTGTGAAGGAGTACAACCTGTCCATGCTGAAGAGTCTGCAGAGTAAACTCATGCTGCTGGCTAGGAAAGCTGACAAGGGCAGCCAGGAAGTGGACAGATTTGTGGAGGTCAGATGTTTTCTGATACATATTGTTACAAAATTAATGTTTATTAATTGATTCTGTCACTAAAACACTCTCTGGGAGCCCTATGTCAAGTTATCACCAATTATTGATGGTAAAAAAAGGGACAAGCAGAAACTTGCAAAGGAAAAGGTCTCTGCAAGTTGCACTCCAACATGCAATGTATGGTTGTACGAATTAAACATGGTTTGCAATACACAAGTTGCTCTTTGGTGTGTATCTACTAGTGGTTGCGCTTGGGTACAGGAAGTGTTCTCAATGCTATTTTAAAAGGAATTTAGACACTACATCCACATGTGGTGTCCAAAGGAACTTTTTTTAATTGTACCTTTGTTAGTTCTATGCAAAGTACGTCTTCTTCAATAATATGGTGCTTTTAAGTTTGTTAGCTTGCTGGATTTAGGGAACATCCTTATGGTGATTTTTGTGCACCATCACTCAATCAAACAGCCAACGATTCAATCACTTGATTTATTTCAGATTCTAACAGGTGTGATGAGACTTGGCCAGGCCTACGTTCACCTCTACAATGCCAGGGCAGTCCTGTTCAACAACTGGAATGCAGTTGTGTACTGTGACGGCAACCGAAGGGTCAAAGTCATGGTCAACTTTGGCTTCGGCACAGAAGCCCTCTACGGAACCAGGGCAGCCGTTGAAGACCAGCTGACCCAGCTGGCAAAGTACATGGAGATGTGTCTGGACGATTGGCTCGGCACCATGGACAAAGCCAGACTGGAGTGTGATGAACTGAATCACTTCACCACCGAGCAGATCGTGGTTCTCCGTAAAGCTCTGGCAAAGATGATCGACCTCAGTGAAACGGTGACCCCCCAGGTCTGTATCCGTATTGGTATAGCCGGTATAACCACCCTTTGGTGTAACACACCAGCTTGGCAGATATGGGATGCAGCAGTACCTAGCTACGTAACACCAAACTTGTTACTCTCAATTTATTGCACATTTAATTGCAGGAGTTGCTTAAAGCTTTCTACTATGACGTTGGCCCAACTGTGATTGGTGGCAACGAGTTCCACTCTACAATAGTTCTTGGAAATACAGTTTCTTGCAGTTTTTTTTTTTTTTTTCTAAGGTCCTGGCCTTGCTGTCCAGCATCAAGCCACTGTGCGCCGAAGATGACATCAGGAGGGCCATGTCACATGTTGCTGGGGACATCGACGCAATGGAGGAAGAGAATGTCAAAGAAGAGCCAATGGTTGAAGAGACAGCAAAGAAGACTTGGTCCATGGATGATGAAGAAAAGGAGGAGTTCGTGGAGAAGCTGAAACAGATGGTGCCTGATTTGACGGACCATGTTGCCTTGGCGGCCATGAAGGCTACTAAAGGTAACGTTGAGGAGGCTGTCGGATGGTGCATCAGCAACATGGACAATGATGACATGATTGAAGAGATCCTCAACAGCAATGAGAGAGATGAGGAAGAGATGGTTACTTCCATACAGGAACCTGTGTCCCTCGCTGGCTTCACCAGCATGTCACTGTCCAGAGGGGAACCCAGGAAAGAGTGAGTTCTAGGCTAAGTGTTGCATTGAACATATTTTAGCACGTTGGCAGAACGTACTGCACCTGCACAAAATCTGAAATGTACTCAAGGCGCAATAGCCCTTCTATATAGAGTTTATTGTTTAAAAATCATCGTATTCATGTCAGACTCTGTAATTTTCAAATGACGGAAAAGATATTGTCTGCAATGGGCAAAATCCTGATGCAGCATCTACCAAACATCTAACAGAAACCATGGTTTCCCACAGGTGCAGTACATTCTGCTGACATGCTGTGTAGTGTATGCATTGAAAACTTGAAAATGTTAACTTTACCATCATGCTTCATGACAATACCTGGTGTGGTTTAACGATGTACTTGTTCCTCTATACATCCATGGCAAGTATCTTTGTTTTTGTGTACCATTGCAGTGATGAATACATGTTCCTTGTAGCATTGTTGTCTGTATTGGCAAATGAAAGATCAACAACAGAATGCCGTGTGACCAAAGTTGACATTGTATTTCTAGGACAATGATCAAAAGAATGGAGTCAGTTTGGGGAGAGTACCTGACCACTGTCAAGTCCACCACGTTTGAGGAGTACATCAGCATTGACCACCTGGCCTTGGTGCTGAGGAATCTCTCCAGCACTGGTTTGTATACATCATCATCATCATCAAGTATCAGCTGGATCCAAGCTACTTATTTCACTAAAAATACATGTCAAGCATTACTTTTCTAAATTATCATATTCAAGTCCAGTATCTCTAACTAAAGTGTCAACTTTCTTGATGCCATTCAATTTATATTGTCTTGTCTCACACAAATGTATTGTGCATGTACATATAAATGTAAATGTAAGACTTTGTTGCAATTTGGTAAGATCTGTATTACAAGCTTTGAAGTACATGTTTGTCTTTAAAAATTCTATCCGTAATTAAGTTGTCATTTTGTTTTTTTATTTTCCTAGCAAACATTGCTGTAGGTCGACAGTGGCCAAGCCGTTTCTTGGAGGCAGGCAAGCCCAACCTTGTAGTGTGTCCTCAAGGTACTGGAACTATGCTGTATATCAGATTCTATAAGAGATACTGCCTTTGTTATGCTTTAAAAACTTTTAAATTAGATTAAGATTATATTGCCCAAAATAATTGCAGATATTAGGTACTGCATCAATTGCAGGTCTGTATCAATGGCAGGTGCTGCCTTTCTTGTTTGTCCAATAACTTCAGACTCAGAACTATAAATAATTATAATTGTAGACTGTCATGTAAATGTTACAGTATCTGACATTGATTGAAAAAAACTACTGTAACAGTAATTCGCAGGTTTTGTTTATGCCAGTATTGTTCACTCCTTCTTTCTGTTGACCCGTTACCTAAGTTCGATCACAGGTTCGGCTCAGCTCAGACATGTTGTGAGGGATTGAAGTCATTTTAAATGGTGACGTAAAGCCAGCGTTCCGGTGTATGATCATGAGAGAGCTACAGGCATAAGCTACCTGTAAAAACACCAAACCTCTGCATGTGAAAAATAAACATTCAAACAACAAACTTATTGAGAAGAGCAGGCTGACCCAATGTGTTTGGCTATAAATGCAGAGTGTAGTGAATCCGCATGGCACTATTCAATACTTGAAAAGGAGCATGCTTCAATCCAGGTGAAAATGACTGTTTTACCTTACGTTTACCTTTGTCCATTTCCAGACGACATCTGGCAGACAGTGTTGTCCCTGTACATGCAGGGCCAGACCACACAACCCCTCCCCTCCTACAGGGAGGTGCTCATCTGTACTCCTCACACTTCTCTGGAAGAGGTCAGGTCCCTAATCTTCTATTCTCATATTTAACAGTAACTGTAAACAGTTATTCTACACAGAACAGATTTTTAAAGTTTAAATTACCAAAGGCATGTTTTACAGATTTATCACTGAAGATGTTTGCCGACGCTGATACAGTTACTGTAGAAAAACAAAATAGGAATTCAGTATCATTCACCCTTGAAATGATCCAAGCTTCTTCTTTGAATCACCACAATGTTGACAAACAATGTCTTTTGCTTTTGTTTCAAAGCAAACTCTGACTAATTCCAGTGTTGGGCTGAAAGAATAAGATCAGTATGAATTAATAAATGAATGAATCAATGAATGAATGAATGAACGAATTATGCTTTATTTGATCCTTGCGATCAGTCAGCATTGAAGAACTTTATAGCCACTGGCTAAACTTAGTGCTACATTTAAAAGACAATCATATAGGGAATTGGACTCTTCTTAATATTGTTTGGTCTTGTCCTGACGAAGGAAGATGTTTGTGTCTAGTGTCCTTGGTACTGATATCATCACAGAAAGGTTAAAACCAGTAACTGTTCCTGAATGTCTCTGTCTCAATTAGTCATTTTTTACAAGTTAACACTGGTCAGTTCAAATTTGGAAAATAGATTCTGAAGCAATTTGGAAACTTCAGAAATATCAAAATTAATCAAGTGTGGTATTATCTGAAAGCTCTCTTCATCATGAAAGTAGTCATAAAACTTATTAGTCAGTGATGCTCATAGGCTTAGTCATGATTTATTGAAAATGCATGATACCATATGCTCTGAGGTCAGTACATGTCTGGCTCCATTTAACCATGTGGGCTTTGTGGGCACAGGTCAGTATGGTTAATCCTATTGGCAATGTCATTACCAGGTGGTTCTGCTGTGGAGGAGAGCTGTAGGAGACCAGACTGGAGGGATCTTCTGTCTGGTTGCTGCCGACCAGCTGGACTATGATGTCAGCGTCAGGGCAGAGGAGATGAGGTGCAAACTATTCCAAGGAAAAGCAGGTGATGGCCATATGAGTAATACATGTACATGTATAGCATCATAGTGTACTTGGTGTGGTGTCGAATGGATGAGTGGCTAGTCATGGGGACACAAAATCAAGAGGTCATGGTTTTGATTCCTGGTTAGACGTTGTGTCCTTCAGAAGGCATTTCATACAACTTTTCTCACCCCATCCAGTGGTAAAATGGGTACCTGACTTCAGATGGGGGAGGTAATAGGTTGTGGAAGAAGAGGGTTGGCCTCCGCCTTAAGCTTCCAATGCCCTAGACACAGTGACATTGGATTAACAACCTACTGCCCCTACAGCCTCAAATGGACTACCTTTAGTGCTTATAGCAAGAAATTGAATCAAGTCAGCCATCAAATTCTTAGATGAGAAGGGTCCTCGGGTGTTTCAAGAAATTGATTGCTACAAGTTTGCACTGCATTCAATCTTCAACAGTTACAATTAAATAATATGTTGACAAAACAAACTGGATTCTAGCATAACAATTTACTTTTTGAGAAATTTTATTACCCATTTCTAGAGTGGAATGTGTTTTAGAATTAGTGTTAACTACATTGTACAATAAGTAATAGCATCGGATAAAGTAAAATGTTAGTATCGCTAACAGTCATATATTTCTTGCTCCGCCTGCTAGGTTACCATGTTGTAGTAGTGTGTGCATCAGAGAGACAGCACCAGTCGTACATGGTGACCGCCCTGGACCAGTACAAGGTGCCCATCCCAGATGTGCCCTCCCAGGAGCACGTCCAGGAGTATCTGCTGTCACAGTTCCAGCAGCAGGATACTGGCTCAACTCTGCTGGCGTCCGTTGTAGATCACCAACGGTAGAAGAAAATATTTTCTTGAGCTGATATTTTGCTATGAGAAAAGCAATTCCTTGAAACTATTGGCTGGTAACCTGCACTACTGATGTACATGTACATGTATAAAAACTAAACAATGAATTATTATAATATATTATATAATAGGCAAACTTGAATTTTGATAGTAAGTCAAACCATCGTGTCACTTGGTTAACTGTGTAATGTGAATATTCAAATGTTTGCAGTTTTGTTTTTGCTGTGAATATAATTTTATTAAGTATTCTTATAGTGTACTACAGATTTTCTGAAATGTTCCAAACTGCAAAAGACTCCTTTTTCACCTGCTGCAGAACCCACCAAGTTCCAAGAAACATAAATGAATGTACAAGGATATTTGTTTAAGTCCATAGTAAGTACTAAGTAAAACAAAATGAAAGGGCAAAGTTTATATGTACAAGAATATTTTCGTAGTATATTTTCCATCCCACATCTTTAATTGCACATTCAAATTTTTCACAGAACTGATGAGAACTTAATGTTTCAGGTCTTCCGTGCGAGTGGTATCCTCCCAGCGTGCCGGGGTCGGCAAGTCCCTTGTCGTCCAGCGTCTCTCGGAAGAACTTGAGAAGAAGCTTCCCAGGAGTCTGCAGGGGAGACTGTCCTACATCAAAGTTCCCCTGCATGAGGCTACTGTCAACAACGATGCAGTTCTGGAGGCACTACTCCCGCATTCTGTCAACCCTGCCAGCCCCTCTCCTCGAATCATCCATCTGGACATCTCTCCCTTGGTAGGATCATGATTGAAACGTACATGTATCTTGAAAGTTCATCTGTGTTGATAGAAATCATTATGAAGCAAGTTTGAACTGTAATTTCCAACAGAACAAATTGGACTTGACTGTATTTTCGACTGTACGACAGGAATAAGCAATCCATCACTTTATGCAGATGAAAACATGTGACTCAGTGAGTGGTAACCTGCAACCTTCAATCCACTACTGACCCATTCACTGGAAATTAAGCTAAGCATTTTTTTGCTTTAAAGTAACTGTTATTTGAAAAAAAACCCACTTATCTCAATAAAAAAATAGTCTGACAAATATAATCATTATGAAATGTCGCCAGTGTTTTTTTTTTTTAATCATACCTGTTGTGTTTGCAGGTTCATAACGGAGTGGAATGCCTTCTGTTTAACCTGTTGGTGTTGGGTAGCCTGGTGGGGAGGGTTGAAATGTGGCCAGTGTCTTTTTTAAAAACACCATGCTTGTTGTGTTTGTAGGTTCAAAATGGAGTGGATTGCCTTCTGTTTAACCTGTTGGTGTTGGGTAGCCTGGTGGGGAGGGACGGGTCTGTGTGGAGACGTCTACCCTGGGACCTGTACGTGGTGGAACACACCTACAAACCACAGGCTGCTGACACACAGGTGAAATATCTTACTTTCAAAGTGTCAATACTTAATTGTACATTTTTTAAAACAGTTATGGCTAATGACAGACTGAGTGTTCTTGCATGTCCATATATACAAATGTAGCAGCTGCTATAATTGTACATATAGAAGATAGAAATTGGATAAACACAACCTTAAATATGAGCAAAAATATTCATTCTAGTTACCATTACTTGTTTGATGGACATCTTGATTTTGATATAGCGTTCCTACCCTGTCCGTTGCCATTCTTTGCGTAGCTACATGTACATGACTTCTTTTTGTGAACGTTCCTCTACAATCCACTGTATGTAATTCATAATTATTACTATGATCATATGCATCTTGGTTACACTAGACAACAGACTTGTTGCTCTCAACCAAGGCAGCTTCAATCACACTTCATGTTGGAAATTTTGAACGTAGAATGCAATACTGTGTTGCCAACACTAACCCATTGCTTCCTGTTATTCTACAGAAGAACAGAGAAGAGCACAAGTCGTTTGTGTCCATGCTTCCGAGTGTGACTTGCATATCTCCCAGACAGACCTACAACTTGCTGACAAAAAATCAACAAGCCATTCCAGGTATGTCGACTTACTCCAATATCGGTTAAACTTATATCAATGGAGCTTAGTATACATGTTGAAAGATGTTCGATTGATCTGTGGGTATAAAAGATTTACAGAACTCTGTACTAGAGCTGTAGTAAACTGTTTCATTTTGTAATTTTTTTAGTGGTGATTGACCTGTTACATCAGTTCACCTTTATTGGTCGACTAATATACCTATTTATATATATATATATAGTAACTTCGTTCTTTTTGAACATTTGGCATTGAGGGAGATGTGATAATTCAATTTAGCAATACCTCCAGAAAATACTTTTAAGAACGTTTCTATAGCCATGCATTAGAAGACGACGAGGTACAAACTTTCTGTCACTTCAATCACGGATGGAGTGTTCTATGACATTTGCTGAAATATTGGATATATACTCAAATTATACATGATTTCATCACGGGAATTTTATATTCCCTGTTTTCGCGGTCACTTCTGTACTGCAAAACTATAATTACCGCAAAGCAATAATTCACCGACTTTCTTTTGCTGCACCTGCCGGCACCACAAACATTGTGTATTTTCCTCATAATGCAAAATTTTGCTACCATGAATATAAAATTAAAGTGATTTACAGTACTGTATGACTGTTTCTGCTAGGTTTGTGTCAGGTGGATGAGGTGATGTTCAGGAGTGTAGAGTACCAGCGTCCGTACCAGTACCTCCGGAGGTGGATGGCCAACGTCAACCTGGACACCTTCGTGTTCACACCCACCAGCACAGAAGGAACCCATCAGGACTTCCTGCACACAATTCTCAGGTAGTTACGGACTAAAGAAATGTGGACTTTTGGTTTCTTACAGTTTTGATTTTGCACACAAAGTGTGTCTTGCCCCTGCCAGTATTTTTGAGTTCCTGAAATCTCCCCTTTCGGTTAACTGCATGCAGGCATACCCAAGATCCCAGAGCTACATTTGTACTCAACCAGTCTCTGATGAAAACTGTCAAACTTTAAGTTTGGTGTTAGGAAGGGCATTCAGCCCAAAGGCACATAGAGATAACATGAAACATTTTGTGTATGCATGCAAGTCCTAGCTTTTATATAGTGAGAGATTTACAATGAGTATAAAAATATAAAATTGTTGACGAATGTACATTTGTACAGTGTATAGGATACAGAATGCTATTGTATCAGTCATATGCACCTTTTGGTGGCATATTTGACAGTTTTGGCATAACAACTACATGTATCTGTTGTAACAGTTGTAATTATTACCTACTTGTATTAGTACATTGTACATGTAGATGAAAGTGATTTAAATTTAATTTTTTGTGTTTTGTGAATGATTGTGCAGTTACTGTGGGATGGAGGATCCGTCCTGGGCTGAGCTGCTGCACTTCCTGTCCTTCCTCAACTACCAGCTGCAGGACTACGAACACTCGGCCTTCTGTCTGGACTTCCCCAGGGACACCCTGCCCGGCTTCAGGAAGTTTGTGGTGCAGTTCATGATCATCATGTCCAAGGTAAGCACTTTATAGATAACGTCATTAGGCCACACTAATTTAATTTGTTGCTTCTCAGATTCACCCTGCGCCACTGCCTGTGCCTGGCATATATTATGTTGACAGACTCCATGTTGTGACCATGCTGTTAATAAACACCTCCTAGCATCGGTTGGAATCTTCGCGTCCTGTCCGCTTATTCGCACTCTTGGCCACTTAGTGGCGTGGTGGCAGCTTGGTGGGTCACGTATACCCCAGGATTTCCATCCGACATCTCAAAACGTCAAGAGACACGACTTCAAAGACGGGATGCTTTCGCAGCCGACTGGTTGAAACAGCATTGAGTGAATTTCCTGGACTCGGGGTTTGATTCCCCTCCTTTAAACGCCAGAAGATCCCCTGGTCTGCCGATCATCCTTTCGCAGAATCTTCACTTCAGTCCCGACGACAGGGTCCCCAGAAGACGACAGGAGCAGTTCAGCGTGACTCTATCTGACACCCAGGAAAATGAGTTCCAGGTTAATTCCGTCCACATGTGCAGCTAGCGGTCACCATATTTCCTTTGTCTGCAGTTCCTCGCACGCACTCATGTTGCTTGTGCCCACATCCCAAAGAGGACGGCTCCCGGTGAAGCGCGTAGCTTCGTTCGGCGACGGACAGCTCACGTTTGGCCTGCCCAGAACTGTACAACAAAGACACCAAGACCAAGGTACCAGAACATTCCGTCATCATTCCTCACATCTTCACATGGCCGCCGCATCGAACCGCGCCCCCAAACAGTGGGCGCTCTTGAAACATGAAACCATCAACAGCTTTGAAAACTGGCGTTCCAACCTTTTGTATGTCTTTAATATCCCTTGACCCCAACTTCTCCCCGTTCCTTGCCAATGGCTTCACGTGGCGAAAGAAGTCGGCGGGAGTGGAAAACCGAGGCCTCACCGCCGATGGAGAAGCGGTCCCGCAGGCTAAACACCACACGGCCCCCCAGAAGGCGGCATCCCTGGAACTGATGCTGGGACGAATCGCAAATTTCTGTCCGGTGATATCAAGAAACAGGATTGTGAAGGCAAGTACGTCCTCAATGACATTTGGCAGACCATCCGCTTACACTTTGGCTTTCAATCGACCGGGGGCTATTTCTTGGACATTGCAAATATTAAACAAGAACCTAATGAGCGCCCTGAAGACTTATTTCAGCGCTTGACCGCAGCAGTCGAAGACAATCTCCTCGTCCCGGAGGGGGAAATAACACACCACGGTGACGGTCACATTACTGAGGAGGCTGTCACTCCGTCCCTGGAAAACTTCATCGTCCTCCTGTGGCTGAAGTTACTTCATCCAGCACTACCAGCCTTAGTCAAACAACGCTATGGCTCGGAACTGCGTCACAAAACTCTAGCGTCTATAAAACCGGAACTCTCCTTGGCATTACAATCTCTCATGGACGAGCTCCAAACCACCGAAGACGTCAGAACCCTCCGTCTCAGCCAAGGTCGTGACCAGTACCGTAGTGACAACAATATTACTCTCGGTCACCACAGACCAGATCTCACAATAAAGTGTGCCCCATCTGCTCTCAATCCAGTAAGCCACGAACCGACCACTTCCTCAGCGAGTGCCCGTACCTCCCAGACGCAGACAAACAGTATATGCAGCGAACCAGACGAACCGAGCCACCAGAGGACCCTACCGCACCACATTGAACTCAATAACAGTCATCCCGGACGTCAACAGACACATTAGAACTTTAGTTACCTGACCATACCTGATTGAACTCTACCAGACACTGTTATAGTTATGATTCACAGGACTCTTGCCGGCCATTTCTTGTTGAGTACCCTGTATTTTTTTTCTCTAGCCACTTATATTATTTGTTACTCTCTTCAAGGCTTATTGTATGAAACGAGCCTCTTATATTATTTGTTACCCTGTTCAAGGTTGATATCAACCGAAGCACTAACTATATGAAACTAATCTGTACCCTTTTTTGTACAATAGTGAATACACTAGATAGTCTTAACTCCTCATGCAAGGGGTCAGTATTATTCAACAGTTATCCAGTCATAACCCTTTTCGTGAATCCAGAGCCTATCTGTTTATAACTTGTTCTGTAGAGCTAGAATATTATTACTCCGTGAAGGAGGTCAGGACCTCCAGACGGAGTGTTGTGATCGGCTGATTTTTCATGTTCGCAGTCAAAACACTGGGTTCTCTTTGTGTAATTGGCACGCAATTTTATACGCCGTCTGCGGGCATTCCCGTGTTGATGCACGAATGTGTATTTTTGCCGTTGCTGCTTTCGCGGTCAATGTAATATTGCAGACGCACCCCTACAATTACGAGGCGAATTGGAATGGTCCAGAAAAACGCGTTGTTTGGAATAGCAGTGGGGGGGGTGGAACTTCATGCAGGTACGGGGTGGTTTTGATAAGTGGTTCCAGATGTTTTTGCCCATGGTTAAGAGATGGCAAGTTTTTTGGAAGATGTTCGCAGCCAAAACGCATTCTTCCGTACGTCGCATTTCTGTGTAATTTCGCATGTGGTGTGGCATTATGTCCGGGATGATGCACGTCTTTTTATTTTTACCGTAGCTGTTTTGATATTGGAGTAACTGCTTATTTTTGAAACATCCCCATTTCTTTGAAATGTTTTCGTCCGTTTATGCAACTGTTACTAATTGCAGGGACTGCGCTAATGCCGACCAGTTGCGCTGTCCTGATACACCACGAATGTGCGAGTGTTCCCTGTAGACAGTCCCGGGAGTCATTTTTTTCGCACATTCCAGGAGCCAAACCAAAATACGTTCATGAACCGAGTCCAAAAAACCGAAACGTGAAAATCGGATGATCGGACCTGATGTACTTTTCTCTTTCTGTAGATTGTACACACAATACACACACATCTTTAGATAATCTGGCCATGGCAGGTTAAAAAATAGTAACCCTGAATCATACTAGATTAGCGTAAATGCATGTTAATGCATTCAAAACAAGAAAAGAAATTGTTTCCGGGTATTAATCTCTTGAATCACGGCGCTGAATATTGACGCAAAAATATTTCGGGCATCGCGCGCCCTTCCCCGTTGTTTAGACTGTATGCAAATCCCGCGTCACGTGTAGGCATCTCGCATCTCTGATTGGTTGTTGCGTCTTAAGATGACTGAGCCGACGCGCGTTTAAACAATTTTTCTTTGTTCGATTTATCACACTTCACAGAGAATTGTCGCCAATGGCTACTTCTTTTTGTTGCAATATATAATACTTCACGGAGAATTGTCGCCTATGGCTTCTTGTTGTTCGTTCAAGTAGCATAGTAAGGAAAGAAGAAAAGAAAAAGAAAACAAAAGTCACGCCACTGCCTGTGCCTGGCATATATTATGTTAATGACTCAGTCCTAACACCGACTCCATGTTGTGACCATGCTGTTAATAAACACCTCCTAGCATCGGTTGGAATCTTTGCGTCCTGTCCACTTATTCGCACTCTTGGCCACTTAGTGGCTCTGTACATTTTTGTCTGAGATCACCACGTGCATACATGTATGTACTTAACTAGCAACACTTTCCCTGCCCACACAGCTCAGACAGCCTTTACGCTTAGACATGGCAACGTCTCCCTCCAGCCTTCTTCTGACCACCAACAGCAACACAAAAAAAATATCTTAGGTTCTGAATCAACTGCAAAATGCTCAATAAATGACATATTTTGGCCCCAACCGTTGAAGAAAGTCCTTTTCTTCCTAGTTAAGTTTTTCAATGTAAAACAAATTGAATTGGTGTGGCCTTAGGTTAAACTGGAAAGGGTATTACTAAACAATCAAGCTCCAAGGATATGCACGAACAACTATGAAATTGAAAGAGGTGCTCATGACAAGTGTTGTTGAAATGAAAAGAAACCTACAGTGGGTGTCATTGGGAGACGGACAAAAAATGGCAGATATGCATGAGGTACAAAATGACTAATAAACTGGTGGACATACCAGTACTAACTTAAAATACATCATACCAGCTCAAAAAAGAAGAAATAGTCATGCCTCTGAGTTATCAACCGATTATTGAGCTATCGCAGAGTTGAACTCACTGTCACCAAGATATGAGCCAAAATATGAGCATTTTGGAGTTGATTCAGAGCCTGAAATGATTGCTTTATTTTGCAAATCAGAAAAAAATGAAGCTGACAAATCCACAAGCCTTGAAAAGACTTTTCTCTGAGGAGGCAGAAAGGGAAGAGGTCTTGTTATGTTGCTATATGGAGACAGTGATGGAGGACACAGTAGCTCAGAGTGTTTGATTGCCTATTGAGATGGACTTGAAAGGAAATTCTTGTCCCTGAAATTCTTGTCTTGATGTATGGAACTAAAAAAAGATTGAGGATACAAAGTCTGAAGGGTTTCACAAATTTGCGGTACTTTATTCAGATGTCCAAAGTGTAGACATTGTTGGTGCAAATTCAAGACAATTGTCACATATTATATGATACATTGATACAAAATTTACATCAGACAATATCTAAAAACTATGTACTTTCAGGATAAAATACAAGAGTACAGACGCCAAGGCTATCATGATAACATTTACAGTAGGCTTAATTGACATTTGTACATAGGTTTTGGATAAAAACTACCTGTTGACTAGTACAGAATATACATGCATGATCTCTTTTAGTGACTACAGATTGCTTTTACTGACAAAAGTTAGAGGATGCTACTTAAAATATCTGAACATTTCATAATCTGTCCACTGGCAGTTACTAATGTGTAACTGTCATCTGGGTAGAAGTCTTTACCGTTTTGTCCAAGCATCAATCTGTCTCAATGATTAACGTTACGGTAATATAACGCAAAATAAAACTAGAAAGGCCAACATTTGCTTGGGAGCAAATACAGCATATTTCAGTCCGTCTCCCTCCCACGCAAAAGTGGACTATTCCGTAATGATCTTAGGCACATAAATTTGAATGTGTGGGTCATTGCGCACAACTTGCGTGCAACATGACCCCATGTAACCGACAATGTTCGATTTGTTCGAGCAGTGTTCAATGGCCAACGGCAGATGGAATGGGCCATTCTTTAGATCGAACGTGGAACGGGTATAGCAGTTTTGGCCCTTTTTTGGCAGAAAATAGCCATTAAAGACCCCAAATGAGTCATTTGGAAGTGGTGTATGCCAAATATGTGACTGCTGTTCTGTAGACACACTTTCAAGGTACCCGTATACCGGATTTGAGATCATTTGGTTGTAATACCAGGGCTCAGGATCCAAAAATCTATTTTTTGTCGAAAAATGTCCCAAAAAACATTCATAAAAATTTTCCAAAGGCATGTATCATAAAAATGAAAAAAAGCCTGGGGGTATTGGCCCACTTTACCTCCATGCCAAATTTCAAGTCATTGGGATAAAAAATGACAGTCGAATCCATTTATATGAAATGGCAGGAGAAGGAGAAGAAACATTGAGCTAGAGGACACAATATACAAAATTAATGTATCTCATCAAGGATCTCATCCATACCATGTGGTATGGACTGAAATATAACTAGAGAGGCCGACATTTGCTTGGGAGCAAATACAGCATATTTCAGTCCATCTCCCTCCCATGCAAAAGTGGACTATTCCAAACTTACCCCAGTGTAAAACTGGCAAAGATTCTCAAATAAATGAATTATATAGTAGCTATGTAATTGAGAACAAAGATGCAAGAACAAGCACATTGAATCTCGAAAGCTTTACTAATCTCATTACAGGTATGCAAATACTAACAATGATGAGATTTGATACATTTTGAAGGTCTTAGGCACATAAAATTGAATGTGTGGGTCATTACGCATGACACGTGCAATGTGACCCCAGGTAACCCGCAATGGAACACGTGTTCCATGGCCAACGGCAGATATTTTTTTAGTGTTTGGGGTGCCATTTTTTTACTGTACATGTGGATAATTTCAGCAGTGTCTAAGTCTAGGGGTATCTAACTTCCTTTGAAATTCACCTACAGAAACAAAGAAAATAGCATTTTAGAGGGTTTAAAATATCCCCCTAAAACTCTCGCACCTCCACTCTTGAGCCAGTCAACAGAAAGGTGCTGTTGGGCGTGGCACAGGCTAACAGACAGTGCTGAAATCAAAGGTGTCCCTATGACCAGAGGCCACCAAAATTTTGTCTGGGACAATTCAATGTACACTTTCGGGAAATTTTGGGACAGTAGAAAAAATTTCAATTTTTTGTCGCCATGCCATTGTTACGATGTAGGTGCACAAATCAGCATTTAAACTGCTTTCGATAGGCAATTATGGATAGCATTACCAAAAACTTTGGCAAGAGGGGGTAAGAATTCGTTCTATGTAAAGGAAAAGGTTGACATGGGTAGCATTAGCAAAACTTTGGTAAGAGGGGCTAAGAATTTGTTCTATGTAAAAGAAAAAGATGACATGGATAGCATTAGCAAAAACTTCAGTTAACATTGGTATCAATAAATTGAAGTAGTGTAGCACTTACTTGCTATAGTCAGTATTAAAGACCACATGACACCAAAATATAACCTTATCTAATTCTGTATCTGTATTTGTTTAGATGGTATAGCTGCCTCTCGGCGTAACACACCAGCTTCGCAGGCATGCGGCGCGGCGGCAGCTGGCTACATTACACCAAATGACTTGTTACACCTACTTTATTACTATTGTTCATAACAATTAAATGGCTATAGTTATACATAGTGGTCATGAGGGTTATGTATCGTTATGAATAATAGCCAAAAGTCATATATAGGGTATAATGGTAAAAATTAATATGCATAATTATATATAATAACCAAAATGGATATGCATAGTTATATATAATGGTTAAAAGGGATATGCATAATTATGTATAATGGTTAAAAGGATATACATAATTATGTATAATGATCAAGAGGAATATACATAGTTATGTATAATGATCAAGAGGGATATACATAATTATGTATAATGATCAAAAGGGATATACATAATTATGTGTAATGGAAAAACTAATATGTATAATCATACATGATTATAGATAAATATAGTATAATCATGTATAATTATGTATAATTGGACTATACCCTAGGGACTAATTAACACATTCCACATATTTGTCACCTTCTACTATGTACTCAGAAAAAATATAAACCTAATTGGGTAAAGCAATTTAGAGTTATTAGCGAGGAGTCCATAATTAAAGTGTTTTTCCATAATTAAAGTGCTGCTTGTTATTAACTTACATTTTGTACAAAATACAGAAATATGGACATCATTTGTGCTGTTGTTGAGTTTAGCTGCTGCATTTTATTGACCAGGTTGTCTGCTCTGTGTGAGCCAGAGAAGTGTCACATGACAACAAGCATTATACACACTTTTTTCAGTAAATGCAGCTGTGCATCTACAGACACTGAAGAAACACAATTTATCAACACGGTTATAAAGTACAACATTTTGATTCAATCCACCGTTGACCCTATAATGGTTAGCAAACATCTGCACAAGTTGAGAGTAGTGAATCATATCACTGACAAATATATGCTTCATTATGAGTTCATTTCAGAATGATGAAGTCAAAAGGATTGATGTCAGTAGTATCTGACATGCTTATATGTTAACATGTGTCCCGAATTCTCCAGGATTTTGCTACTCCATCCCTGAACATGAGTGACCAGAGCCCTTCCCTGAAGTCGGCTCCTTCAGACGATCTGGAACAGGCAGAGATTCAGCAGTTGCAGCTGAGGAGAACCTGGGAGAACAGGTACTTTCCTTATTAATGCATGCTCTATTTAAGGATACGTAAAGTCTTTTGTGTGTGTGTGTGTGTGTGTGTGTGTGTTTGTGTGTGTGTATGTTTGTGTGTGTGTGTGTGTGTGTGTACTTATGTGTGTGTGTGTGTGTGTGTGTGGATAGCACTCAGCACCAAGGACGGGTATGCTAATTTGTGCGCGCGTGTGTGGCTAGTGTTCAGCAATAAAGACATATGTGTGTGGTGGGCTTGTGTGTGTGTGTAGGTGTGTGTGTGTGGATAAACACAATAACTTGTAGTTATATTCTGTAGGTATATTCTGTACAGTAGATTGAGACCTTGAGACATTGGCAGGATGTTGTGTTATTTATTACTAATGGTTGCTCTCAAACTTTCAGTTTTGATATCTCGGGTTCTAGATACATGACTGTACATGTATGCTGAGGTCACGAATTTTGTATGCTGGGGTCACGAAGAAGTTAATCAGAATAATAAGTTGGGCCCCCTAGCAGCTTGTTCTGGATCTGCTGGGGTGTTTGTTGAAAAATCTTTGCTTTTGTAAACTTTTCTTGTCCACAGCCCTCACCCGTACCTGTTCTTCAATGCTGACCACAACACCATGACGTTCCTGGGATTCTATGTGGACCATGCGGGGAGTGTGATCGATGCCTCCGGGCAGCTTCTGGAGCAGAACGTCATATCTGGTAATCTGTACCAGGGAATGGCCAGTAACGGGGTCAAGTTTAATGTCACCTTTGATGACCTAACTAGGTACTAGGACCTTTCCTACATATACATGTATGTATAAGTATTACAAGATATCTTACCATTATTATAATAATATTATAGGAATAATTAAGGAATAGAGCTACAAGTCATGTACAAACAAGTTCAGTGAACCTACAAATGTATCCTCCGTAATCATGCAAACTTGCCATTGTCAGCTTTCATTATGCAATTTTGTACAATATATGTGTTTTAGCTGATGCATGGGGAAAGCCAAATCATTATATATTGACAGAAGCATGATAATTTCATAAATCTTAATTGAATCAATGCAGCTGGAAATAATGCAAAGTTTCAAAATTTTAATGTTTCGACTGCTATGCAACAATCTGCATCTGATTCAGTAAAAAGAAAGGAAGGTTTATGTTCTGATGAAGATCACTGGATAGTTGTCAAAATGTCTGAAGCGCTGTATTATTTCAAGTTCATCAAATTAAACTAAGATGTATTATATCCTGAAAAAAAACTCATAAATGTACAATTATATTATAACATTTTGTTCCAGATTTGAAAAAATCCAGAAGTTGTGCTTTGTGATGGGCATTCACAATGTGTTCTATGATCCTGACCCATCCTACGAACTAACAACAGACAACGTCAAGAAGATCCTGGCTATTCATATGAGGTTCAGGTTAGTGTCCCATTCTTTCCTACCTCCGGGTGAGTTTTGAAGAAAGGTTAAGGTATTGGCAAAAAGTCCTGAGCGATGCCCAGAGGGACTTAAGGTGGGGTTCCCCTTGGCATATGACATATGGTGTAAAATTTTTTTTTTTTCAAATTGCCTCCCTCCAAAATCCCCCTCTTTGCTTGGTGCTATGGGTACATGCCGATGACACATATCTCCTCACCTCCCACCCCCTCACTCTTGTCCAGCTTTGTCCTGGTTGGGGCTTCTCTGCTCCGAAATTCTAAGACTAGTTCTCCACTGTAAGCAATCAATTTTATGAGGCAAGTTTGAAAATTAAATTACATTTAATGTAATTTCCAACACAAGAAATTGGAAATTTTGTACCCTACAACAGTCTTTGTCAAGGAATGAGCAATCGACCACTTCTGTGAGTTCATGTTAATATGCAGGTAACGCATGAGACTCTGTTTGTTTGTTTACTATCTCCATCAGTGTGTATGTCACACTACTCTTCCTGGATTCTGTAGTGAATAATCAGATTAAGTATTTAGACCATCGCACACCGGGGCATGCTCCTACTCTTTTTCAAAAGGTGTGGTGGGTTCTTTAACGTGCGTGGGTTGTGGCTGTTCCCAAACACTGGACTTCCATTTGACGTCCTATCCGAGGGACGTCCCTAACAAAAGCTATAGGACTGGTACTCATTTTCACCTGAGTGAGCTGAGGAAAGTCATGTCAAGTGCCTTTCCCAAGGGCACAAGATTGGTGACAAGGTAGGATTCGAAGCCGGAACCTCTTGGTTCAAGGCAGAACACGCTACTCCTACGCCACATGACCCCACAAGGTTGTGAGCAGAGAACCAGTCAATGTTGTACCTCAAGGTTTTTTTTCACCCTACCAGGTGCAACATCCCTGTCATCATCATGGGAGAGACGGGCTGCGGGAAGACCAGGCTCATCAGGTTCATGTGTGACCTTAAGGCAGGTCACGTCAAGGGCAAGAAACATCCCAAGAATATGATCATCATGAAGGTTTGTCAGAACATTGTTCAATGCACTGTCTAAAAGCTAAAACAGTTAGGAACTATTTTTTATGAATCGCACAATCAATCAATTAAAGCTGCATTTATTAATAATAATATGTGATTTTTGGCTGTCTAATCTTAAAACAAAAAGTCGATTTTCTGGCCATTTTTTTACAATTTGCTAGTTGAATAAACCCCACCGTGTTACACTGCACCATTCAGTTCATGGAGGCGAGACGATATTTTTGCGATGCGAGCGGTTAGAAAACTGAGAAATCAGACGCGCGCGCCAGGGTGTTTGCCATGTTTGTTGACTTCCAAACATGTCCAAGTACTCCAGAGTCTGCCATAGCCGGCCCGGAGATTTGTCACGTGGCCTAACGTGACCCTGGCGCGGGACCTTCGATTCTGACAGCCGGTTTTCGCCTTTGGTTCCCGGGTTTGTTTTGACCGTGTTATTCCTTCGATTAGTGAGTATACCAACAACACCCGCTTTTGAAACTTGTCCTTCTCCTTCCTTTTCCTGGCGGAACTGGTCAGCAAACTTCTTCTGCCTCCACGGTTCACCCGATCCCGACCGCCCTCCATTCCCGCCATTTTGTTTCATCATCAGAGGGCTAGATAGTCATGACGTCACCCAGCCGGAACTCACCGAAGATTCCCGACTGAAAACCGTTGTTTGTTTGGGTTCCAGCGGTGGCATCAACTTGGTGCCACCGGGAACTGAGCGCACATTGAGCGGACTGTTCTTGCGCTAACAAAATACGCCAGAAACGTAGTATAATGACGCAAATGTGTTTAAAAGTGATAGTAAATGATGATAAAACCAAGATTTGTTAGATTCAGAATATTTGAATTTTTTGCGCAAAAAACTACATAATGCAGCTTTAACTCAGATCAATCCATTCAACCATCACTAAGTCTTAGTGAAATAGACAGTCATACATTTGGCAGTTAAAGTTATCATCCTCCCTGCAACCATTGACATGGTCGTTTATGTATATGGCAGCACCATATGCATCCGATCCTGTAGCCCTTTGTCATACAGTTGTGCAATCACTGCAGCGGGGGCTAGTCCACCGGTAGTGGTGTGTGTTTAACTGTCATACTCTTTCTCAAATGCTGAGTGCTGAACAGTCTTTGGTATGACTCGGCAAGGAATTGAACTCACGACCCATTGAATGCAAGGGGAGCACTCTACCCACTTGGCCATAATGTACCTGGTGACATGATAATTTTTTTAATTTTTTTGTACAATGTATATTCTGTGGTCTAAGTTTATTCCATCTAATATAGTATACTGTATATTAGGTTCATGAGTAACCTACCAGCAAGATACATGTATATGCCAGCTACATGTAGCTGACCATTATGGCCAAGCTTAAGAGTACATGTACAAGACGAAGGTAACTAAATTATAATATACAACATCGTCCATTACAAAACAAGTATTTTTATGGGCCTTTCAAAATCATGGCCACTGGAGTAGAAACGTTCAGGACATATTCCGTAAAGTTGATCAAGAACATGTTAAAACTTTACCTTAACACATTGAGGGGTGACATATTTTTTAGGCAAATTAAAGGGAAGCTTTTTGACTAATACAAACAAGACTGGGCAACCAAAGTACATTTGAAGCCTAAACTAAGAACATATGCTCTGTTTAAAGATACTTACTGTGTATAGAAAAATATGCGAGCTGGTATTTTACCTATCAATGTTGAAACTGGACGTTACCAGGGAATTCCTGAGGAAAATAGAATTTGTTCCATGTGTGACCTGGATGAAGTAGAAAACAAAACACATTTTCTTTTTTACTGTCCCTTTTATGATGATCTTTGAGAAAATATGTTTCATAAAATTTATATAAAATCACCTGACATCATATGGGAAAGAGATGAAAATAGAATTAAGTGGCTCTTTAACGAGGGTGTATCTGATCTAGCAACTTTCATTTGTTGAGCGTGGGGGAAAAGAAGAAAACACCTGTATTCATAATACATCTGATTTTTTTTTTTACAAGTTTTCACTTGTTACTTCTGCACGTTTGTTTTCTCTTATTATGTTTCATTTACCTTAATATGTACTTGTATTTATTTTGTGAGATCTTGGTTCATTATGTACAGATTTATTTATTTGCATTTACGATCTGTTATGAGTTCACATTGTTCACCATTATTGTATATAGCCTACCTTTATTTGTGTTCATATTTTGTTTGGGTTCTGTTATCCATACCTTTGTTTCTCTTTTGTTTATGTCTGTTTAACAGGTCCATGGTGGAGTGAGGGCAGAGGACATCATACGTAAGGTGGAGAGAGCTCAGCAGACTGCCAGGGTCAACAGGGACAGGCACAACATCGACACTGTGCTGTTCTTTGACGAGGCCAACACCACAGAGGCCATTGGCCTGATAAAGGAGATCATGTGTGATGGGACCATCGCAGGACAGCCTCTCAACAGGCAAGACGGCTGTCTCAAGATCGTCGCTGCCATTAACCCATACAGAAGGTAAGGCCCTGTAACAGTGGGGGGTTTATAGGCGCTACCAACTGACCTGGCCTTTTAGCGGAGTGGTTAGAGTGTCGGATTTTGAAGCTGGTGCTCGGGAGGTCGTGGGTTCGAAACCCAACCCGGGACCTGTTTTTACTCCCTCCTCCTGTTTCTTACAGTAGTGTAACAGTGAGTATATAGGCGTTACTAACTACCCGCATGGTTTGGGTTGCTGGTTGTGAGCTGCGGGTTCGATTCCCGGTCAGAGTCAACCTTTGAGTAACTACTTTCTCTTGTGTTACAGCCCCATCAATTTAATTTGTTGGTTCTCTAATTTTTTTAATAAATTATGAAAGGACAAAGTGAAGACAATCCCCCAAAATACATTATTGCGGATGATTTATTATATCATAGAAAATGAGAAGTACTTCTAAGGATACCATTCTGCCTGATTGCTGAGTAGTTTTGTACATATCAGGCCAGAAATTTTTTTAACATACACAGTGTCTACATGTGTTATAATTTTTTACATGCTTTTCTCTCCTCAGACACACAGATGACATGATCAGGAGGCTGGAGGAGGCAGGACTTGGCTACCATATCAAGGCCACAGAGACAAAGGATAGGTTTGGTATGTGTGACGTATGTTTTCCTTTCAGTAATCATGAAGAATATTGCATGTATAGACGTATAGAAACCAAAAAGGAGTTGTTCTTTTATTCAATCAGTTAAACCCAGTATGCCATGATTAAAACTTTTAGATCTTAGGTCAGTTGACTGTCACCACAGAATTTATTTATTTACTAGTCTTTATTTATTGAAAATGCAACAAGACATTACACTGACTCTCAAGGCAGCAAAGCTGATGTTAGAGAGTCAACACATAAGGACAAAACATATAGGGCACATAATATCAACAGTGTGAAATTACAAAAAAAAATGATCATAAGAACCTATATCATTCCAATTAGCCGAGTAAATATATGTACACATCTAAAATAACACATTTGGAGGTCAGAGGTCGATAAAATAAGTCACAGTCAGACTACCTTATATGAGAAAAAAAAGGATACTAAATAACAAGGTTAGAAAGGAACAGCTGGAAGTGCCTAGAAACGGTTTGTTGAAGTGATGTAAGTGTGGAAGGAGTGTGAGAGGCTTTCGTTTAATGTGATGTCATTGCCCGGGGACCCGTTGAGTAGAACGCTGGTGGAGAGGGACCACAGAATTGTCACCATGGTAACTTGTGCTGTAGCAGCACCTTGTGGTATTGAATTACATTATGTAGCAAGTTGCAGGACAGAGTTAAAGAGGGTGGTCACCATATATGGATGTGTTTGAGTATGAATAAACAGACCAGTTACTGCAGTTTGTTGAGCTGCAGCATCCCCATGTGAAGGTTAACAAATACAAAAATAAAAATACATTTGTTTTATTTTGTGAATGTTACAATGTACCATTCTAGTTTTATGTAGAAGTACATGTGTATCTGTATACTGCAGGTCACATCCCCCTGCGTCAGCTGGTGTATCGTGTCCAGCCCCTCCCCCCCAGCATGCTGCCGCTGGTCTGGGACTTCGGCCAGCTCAGCAGTGATGTGGAGGAGAAGTACATCCTGCAGATGGTCAACAGATGTGTAAGTCTTCCTTTTACAATTATTATAGTAACTGTATCTAAAAGTACATGTATATTACAATATATAATATTAATAACTAGAAAAGGCCAATATTTGCTTTGGAGCAAATACAGCGATGGGTTCACCACATTTTACGACATGGCAGGGAAAGAATGAGAAACACAAGGGAAAACAGTGATTTACATTGATATAACTATAATATGAAGTAAAATACAACTAAAACAACGGTTGGATAGCTATTCCCTACTTTATTGGTTAGGATTTTTAATTGCATAATGCAAACTGTTGATTTTCAAAATAAAAAAAACGTCCATGCCCCGCATTCCAATGCTGGAGCAGGAAAGCTTGAAATACCTACCAAAACACTTGAATACAGACATACTGTATGGAAATGCTCTGTGCAGGTGTTAATCAAGTTAAATCCCAACAGCCAATCAGCAAGAAATGCTCTGTGCAGGTGGAAATGCTCTGTGCAGGTGTTGATCAAGTTAAATCCCAACAGCCAATCAGCAAGAAGAATAGAGGAAAGCTGCATGCCTATTGGTTGATGCCCTGCATTCCATTGTGATGACTCATGCCCAAACGTGGTAAACAAGGCACACTAACACAGTAATACATTTGCTATAACACAGCCAAAAAACTCAAATAAAACCATTCTAAAAGCCTGTATCACAATAATTTAAAAAACGCCTAGGGGTATTTGCCCACTGTACCTCCATACCAAATTTCAGGACCTTAGGCCCTAAAATGAAGAAGCTGAATCCATTTAAAAAATGGCAGGAGAAGGAGAAGAAACATCAGAAAAAGCAATATGGGTTCACCACCACTTCGTGGTGTGGTGAACCCATAAATATATATATATATACCTAATATAGTATAGATCCTGGTTTAATCCATACAATAATATTGGAAATGATATTATTGCCTCCAGGGGAGGATATATCCTTCCACGGAAGGGTTTTGTGGGAGATGTAGATTTTCACGTTCGCAGTTGTTTCTCGCGTTTGGGTGGACGGATTCTTTTGGGACTCGTGATGCACATTCTTTCGTTTTTATTGATTGTATATGTGTTTTTGGGCGGGGAAAATGGTGCCTTTTGGTGGCCCCAAAACACCCCTTTGAGCGTGAAAATGGGTTTCAACATTTTGACCCCTGGTGTATTTAAATAGTACAAGTCTCGTCCACTTGCATGACCTTTCGCATAGAGGGGTGTCCGGTATCGATACATTCTTTGTTTAAAAATATGCACCAAAATGCTGTGTTCCAGGTCTGCATATTAGCCAGATTCAGTGAAAATATGCACAATTCAAAGAACCTTTAGTGAAATATATACTTCGTGGTGTGGTGAACCTATAAATATATATATATATACCTAATATAGTATAGATCCTGGTTTAATCCATACAATAATATTGGAAATGATATTATTGTCTCCAGGGGAGGATATATCCTTCCACGGAAGGGTTTTGTGGGAGATGTAGATTTTCACGTTCGCAGTTGTTTCTCGCGTTTGGGTGGACGGATTCTTTGGGGACTCGTGATGCACATTCTTTCGTTTTTATTGATTGTATATGTGTTTTTGGGCGGGGAAAATGGTGCCTTTTGGTGGCCCCAAAACACCCCTTTGAGCGTGAAAATGGGTTTCAACATTTTGACCCCTGGTGTATTTAAATAGTACAAGTCTCGTCCACTTGCATGACCTTTCGCATAGAGGGGTGTCCGGTATCGATACATTCTTTGTTTAAAAATATGCACCAAAATGCTGTGTTCCAGGTCTGCATATTAGCCAGATTCAGTGAAAATATGCACAATTCAAAGAGCCTTTAGTGAAAATATATATTTCTTTGCAGATTTATGGTGTTTTTTTTTACTTGGATCGAACCCGGAACTGTCAATTTCCAATTGTAGCGGATTTTACTTGTTAGTTTTAGATATTTTGACCGCCATCCAGCAATCTTCATCAGTATCATATGGACTGAAAATTTAAACCGTTTCATCCTGGATGAGTAGCCTTCATCTACTTTTGTAGATACATTCAGTATGCCAAATTGCGTGAAGGTACATGTAGTAGATAAATAGTACATGTAACTATATATATGCATCTTTACTTGGTCCAGTTTTAGTCTACAAGTTAGATGATATTACATGTATTTTGATCTGTTCTGTATCTGTATTGGTATGGCCTGTATAACCGCCTTTCGGCGCAACACAGCAGATTAATCTGTTGATCTACATGTATTTCATGTTACTGCTTCTGAATCAGTAGTCTTTATAGTCTACTTTGTGTAGCTAGATATTTCAATCTTTCTTGTTCAAATTTCCAGATAAAAAATAACAACCTACCTGCTACCGGTAACACGCCCAAGGTTGTGAGTGCTGTACTGGCTGCATCCCAGCGCTACATGCGGAGCAAAAAGGTAACAAGGTTATCAATCAATTGCATACAGAATTTATCAATAATCATTAATTTAGCATTTACTTGTTCAACAATGATTTGACCACCTGTAATAACTGGCCTTATTACAACATATGGCCGTGCAATTTCTGTTAATGATGATATTTAGTTGTTACCTCTGGGGAAGAAGATATGTCATGTATATGTGGGAAGGTATTGTTTTGGTTCATGTTTGTGTGTGTGAGCGTCTATTATCTTTATCAGTTGTCCAATGTCTTGTGCGTGTAATGGGCTATACCACACTACTTTCAGGAAGTTTAACGGGGTCTTTATCTTGTATTTTGTATTATAATAAGTGATATCACCCAGTTAGTCATGTAGTGTTATTGTTATTAGCAAAGTTAATGTGATGTCTGAGTCGTTGTGAACAGTATGCATTGTATAATACTTCCTGGAGGTTTAGAATCTCAGATTTCTTGGTCAAGAATGATTTGACAACCTATATAATTATTGATCTCATTGCAATTGCTTGCTGTGCCATTCCAGGACCAATTATATAAAAGTCAATAGAAATGATTTAGTTCTTTGAACATGTATTTCAATAAATGAAGAAAGAAATCTTTAAACTGTGTGTGATTTTAATAATTACCGCCATTAAATGTTTCTGCCAGGATGAGTGCAGTTTTGTGAGTCTGCGTGATGCGGAGAGGACCCTGACAGTCCTGTGCTGGTTCTACCAAATGTCTGGCAAACTGAGGGAACTGATGCCAGATACAGGAAGGAGCACAAGTTCGAATGTAAGTTCTCCTGAAAATTTCAGTACTACTAAATAAAAGGTTATTGATGTCTATTGTGACTGTTCATGACTTGATGACATGGTGCGTGTTTGTTTGATTCGCATAAACCACTGTCTTTAGGCATAACACATCAGTTTTGTACGGTGAGTACAAGTTTTGTAAGACCAGACTGTAATTACCTCCATGAAAAACTGGAGGTATTGTTTTTGGCGCGTCTGTGTGTGTGTGTGTGTATGTGTGTGTGTGTGTGTTTCCGCACATTTGTAGTCAGCATAACTTCAGAATGCCTTTATGGATTGTGATGATATTTGGTATGCTGGTAGGTCTTAGGAAGCCAAAGGTCAAATATGGGCCTCCTGGTGGCTGACCTTGGTGCTGCAGCAGAACAGCAGTACTGCAGCAAACAGATGTACGGGGTGGTAGGGAAAACAGATGTGCGGATGTGTGGAGGCAGCGCCTGCCCTGTTTGATTAATGAGGCTCTCCCTCGGGAAAAGCCTACATGACCATATCCAGGCCAAAGGTGCTACGGTAACCGTGTGTTTGAAACCAAAAACCTAAAAGTATGTTATTTTGTTGTGTACTGTAGTGTACTGTGTAAAAGCATTTTAGAAAAACTCAATATATTTCATGGAGGTATGAGGTCTCTGAATTCTTGTTAAGGTTTGAACCACTCGTGGGGTCGTGTGGTGTAATGGCAGAGCATTCGGCTCAGAACTAAGAGGTCCCGGGTTTGAATCCTGCCAATTCACCAACCTTGTGCCCTTGGGAAAGGCACTTTACACGACTTTCTTCACTTTGCTCAGGTGCTAATGAGAAAGGCCCCTACTCTTTTCGATAAGTGTAGTGGGATCTTAAATGCAATCATGGTGTTGATGCAGGTGCTGATACATGTACATGTACATTTTTCCATAGCTGTATTACTGACAATACCCACATCTTGTCACAGGCAGAAATATCTGACTTCACCAGAGCTCTAGTCCTGGCCATCGGTGTCTGCTACCACTCCCGTCTGGAGACCAGGAAACAGTACAGAAGATACGTGGCTCAACATTTCACAGACACCTGCCTGCTTCCCCAGGGACCTCAGACAGTGGAACAGGAGATAGACAGGTACATTGTTGGCCTGCACAAAATCTGGAACGTAACACTTTTCAATTTACAGAGTGTATGATTAAGGTAGTCTTCACATAATTATGAAGGATGATATTCTGTCTGTAGTTTTCAAATGTTGTGTCAGGAATCTTTTGCAATGGACACAATTCTGATGCAGGCATTAGCTTTGCACAGGCACAGTACGTTCTATACTGAAGTGCTTAGACAGGTATGGTTTAAGAAATTACTTAAGCCAATTTTTTTACAAATTGAATGTATCTTGAATGATAGCGCAGTGTCCATATTTCTTAGAGACTATTCAAAGTAAATGTACAATGCTATGTACCTGAAAAGAAATTGCGTGCAGAGGTGCCATCTTGCTTTTGTGTGAACTACACACTAATTATATATATACGTGTATAAAACAATATTCCAATAAAATATCTACATGTATCTGTGGCCAACAATTTTAACGTCTCTAAACTATTTCTCATCTCTTACTTTGCTGTATTAAGATGCCATAGACTCCACTCTTGTTTCAAGTTTGCTAAGCACTGATGCACTATCTCGTGCTGAACAGAGTGGTATTTCCTCTGAATCATTAAAGTCACCATGTCCCCAAACCTGCTTGAATGTGTTCCTTGGGTACGAGACAATTAGTTGAAAATGATGACCAAGTGTTGTAAGGGTTAGTCCTTGGTTTTATGATTTTCCAAAAGATTCTTTTGTTTTCTCTCGTCAAGATGCCAGGAGGCGTTCCTTGATGAGCTGAAGGACCACCTGGGAGCAAACATTGCCTGTAACATGGCGCTGAAGGAGAACGTGTTTATGATGGTGGTGTGTATCGAGCTGCAGATCCCGCTCTTCCTGGTGGGCAAGCCGGGCAGCTCCAAGTCTCTCGCCAAAACTATCGTGGCAGACGCCATGCAGGGAGACTTTGCACCTTCATCCTTGTTTAAAGGTCTCAAACAGGTAGGCAATGCACTTCTTACAGACTGCCCATCATAGCTATTATAATGATTAAGGGTTAATGACCCACCCCGTGAATATGGTGTGATAAAGCCTTGTCAGTTGCTATAACCACCAAATAAAGCCACCAAGTGAGCGCACCAGATAAGAACTCTATTTAGTAGGCATGGATTTGCTGTCATGAAAACATATCTGGAGCTAGAGAAAGCCCTGTTGTGGTCATCAGATTGCTGAGTGAACTGAAATAGTCAATGAAGAACCTGGAAGAAAAGACAGCCATGTGTTGACTCATTCCTGGACAGGAGTTGCACATTCAAAATTTTTTCGTAAGTCCAAATTCTTTCATGCTATCTGTAAAGTTCTCAAATTCCCTCAGCTGTGATTTGAATTTCTTTTTTTCTATCTCAGGCCCAGATGGTTTCCTTCCAGTGCAGCCCACTGGCCACACCAGAAGGCATTGTGGGAACGTTCCGTCAGTGCAGCAAGTTTCAGAAGGACAAGGACCTGTCCCGCTTCGTGTCTGTGGTCGTGCTGGATGAGGTGGGACTGGCAGAGGACTCACCCAAAATGCCTCTCAAGGTGATTAACCAAAATTCCCCTGGTGTTAGATAGTAGTATTATATAATTTGAATATCACCATACAGTGTGTTTCATATTATTTGTTGGTTTGCCTGTTCAGCACACACAGCCAGAAACTAGCCTATAGCTATTACAAAGTATAAAAAGTTACAACATAATTCTATAGATAAAAACATTGTACAAAAGAATTTTATGTGATAACACATACCATACAGTGTGTGTACTACATACACTGTATGGTATGTGTTATCACATAAAATTCTTTTGTACAATGTTTTTATCTATAGAATTACTGTGTACTTAGGATTTATGAATCGGGACTGAAAGTGGTTCTTAGCATCTGAATAAGTAACCAATTCTGTACCTGTCTCTGTTTTTGATATCTGTCAACATTTGACCAGGGTTAGTAAAAACAAGTTGTTACTGTTGTGTATAGTTTAGTCACAAAGAAGGAAAAAACGACTGTGGTACAGACCTTGCATCCAATCTAGTGTTCTAGCCAGCCTGATTTTTTTCCTGTCATATCAACTTTGTTTGACGTACATGTAACATCATGTCAAGAGCTGAAGGTGCGAGATGTCAGGCCAGAGGTGGAACGATCCTAGGGGCATCCAGAAAATTTTTAGATCTTGACACTGAAATGCTATTTCTTGCATTTCGGGGGCAAATTGTGCTGGTATACTTAAAGCTTTAAGTTAGTTTAATTACATCTCTTTCCATATCTTTATACACCAATTTTTGTCTTTCAAACATGATGAGTTTTTGTCCATCAAATGATGGAAAGATGGATGTTGGCTAGAACACTAAAAATGCAATCACATTAAAACTATTAAACATTGGGAACCTGGTAGAAAAAAGCATTTTCCTTTACCAAAGAAAGTGCAGCATGTTATGAGATGTAAAGCTACATACATGTATAATTAGTAGCCTGCTTTCATCCTCTGTACAAAAAGGAGAGGGAGAAAGAGACTCAGCAGCTAAAATAGCTTTAGTAACCAGGCTATAGAAGAAGCATGGCCCCAATACATGTTTGTTAACTTTGCAATTACTGTAACACAGACCCTGCATACACTGCTGGAGGATGGGTATGAGGAGGAAGATGATGATGATGATGACTCAGAGGAAGAAGAAGAAGAGGAAGAAGAAGAAGAGGAAGAAGAAGAAAAGGAAGAAGAAGAAGAGGAAGATGAAGAAGCCCCAGATCAGACAAGATCCCACAAGAAGGTAGCATTTGTGGGGATCTCCAACTGGGCTCTGGACCCTGCTAAGATGAACAGGGGCATCTTTGTGTCCAGGGGGAAGCCAAAGAAAGAGGATCTGACCAAGAGTGCAAGGTAAGTTTATGGGTCCGGCACCTGATTTTATAATGTTAAAGAGGCCGATTTTTTTCCCCTGGGTAAGAACAATAAGGAAGTGCTCCCACTGTGCCCTTCCCAGCAGCTTGAATTGTGAATTGGCCCATAAACTCATAAAAATCCTGAACAGTCTATCCTCCAGAACAAAGGCAGGACATTTGCATACTGGTCAGTTTTCAAAGATTCAATTTTTTTATTATCTACTGGTTTTCAGGGTAACATTTTCAAAAGGCAGATACTTGTTACAAAGCTACATAAGCAAGAAATTTGCAACTTTCAGTTTGGAAAATCAACCTTGATCATATTCCAACTTTCAAATCAGCCCTGTCAAAGTTTTATATAAGGACATATATGGTGCCCTAACTATATAATGCCCTTGCTGTATCAAAGTGTCTACTTGTACATGTAATGGGGGGTGCCCTAATTCCGACCCATCCCTAATACCGAACTAGTTTGAAAAATTCTTGTTGCGGCGTTATGCATGGGAGCACGTACCTAAAAATAACCACAAGAATGGACAAAGTTTTTGTATTGATATCGGTAATCTCACAAAGTTTGTTTTAGTTCGTACACTCCGGCAACAGACGAGTGAAAAATCTGTGTGAATTCAACGCTTGTTCGGGGGTTGACGAGCGTGTAAAAAATGCAGGTTTTGCTTTTCAAACAGCCATTTTGGAGTAAGTCACGTAATTGTAAAAAGAGGACTTGTTTGGGACAGAAAAACAGTTGTAGATTATTTTAGTCATAATTTATGTATTATAATTTCTAAACGCTCTTCTCAGATCGACCTGTGTTAAACACTAGGTCGGAATTAGGGCACCCCTGTTGCGATAGAACGTTCCATGCACCGGCAAAATGACAAAAAACCTGCCGTGCGTTTCGCGAACCATTACGCTTGGGTGCAAGGCGCTACACTCAAGTGAAATACAAAGCTGTGCAGCTTTAATCGTTGTGATCTTTATCTGTCAATATTATATCTCATGTTGTGCGGGGTTTAGGGCACCCCCCCGTTATCTGTGCTTGCAACTTGAAATGTCTTTCTCACAACTGAATTAGCTTTAATTTGCAGTTTTGTATCTGACATATGGCTTGTAAATGTCATTCCTACTTGCAGACAGACTCAGATACAGATGTAGACTTAGGCTCTGTATGTAGAACTGGGCATGTAACTGCCAGCCAAGGTCACAAGCTACAAGCCAGAACATGGCAAGTCAGAGCTGTCATTACTATTATACATATAACGGGAGGGGTCCTAATTCTGACAAGTCCTATGTTCCATGCAAACGCACATACCTTTGGTAATAGTTTGCCTCACCCAAAAACAGCGCAACATGAGCTATAATATTTACAGATAAAGATAACAACGATTAAAGCTGCACAGCTGTGTATTTTACTTCAGTGTAGCGCCTTTCACCCACGCGTAATGGTTCACGAAAGTTACGGCAGGTTTTTTGCCATTTTGCCGGTGGAACGTTCTATCGCGAAAGGGGTGCCCTAATTCCGACTTACAATTTAACAAAGGTCAATCTGAGCAGAGAGTTTAGTATTTAAAATACACAAATTATGCCTAAAACAATCTACAACTATTTTTCTGTCCCAAACAAGTCTTCTTTTTACAATCACGCGACTTGCTCCAAAGCGGCTGTTTCAAAATCAAAGCTGCGTTTTTTAACACGCTCGTCAACCCCCCGAACAAGCGTCGAATTCAAACAGATTTTTCACTCGTCTGTTGTCGGGGTGTACAAACTAGAACAAACTCTGTGAGATCACCGTTATCAACACAAAAACTTTGTCCGTTGCTGTGGGTATTTACAGGCACGTGCTCCCATGCATAGCGCGGCGACAAGGATTTTTCGAACTAGTACGGAATTAGGGGTAGGTCGGAATTAGGGCACCCCCCGTTACTTCATATTCTGGGTTACTAGTACAAAAAAGTTATACAACTTCTTATATGTATGTGTTATCATTTCAAAAGTGTCTTGAAGAGAAATTTGTACTTGGCAAGCCAAACTGTCTTAGACAGGCCTCCCCTATGTACACTGCACGGCTGCCAGGACAAGACTGTAGTCTGGTAGTTTATGTCAACTTATCGAATTTATATCAGCAGGGTGGGGTCATTATATAGTATTATTGGCCTCTTAATATACATGTAGAACTGCTATAATCATATTTATAATGCTTTAACTAATATTGTAACCACACTTCACACTGTCCTAAGTTCTGAACTATTTGTATAATTGCATTATTCCTACATTCATGCTTTTTCTTAGCTACTATTGTAAGACCCATGAATGTCCTTAATGCTGAATTGCTGTCTACTGTATTATTCCATTCACCCTTTTCATCAGTACTCTTTCTTAACTACTATAATTATAACCACACATAACACTGTCTTTGATGCTGAACTCCTTGAAGTTTGTATTACTCCCACATTAATTTCATTGACTTCCTTAACTACTATTGTAAGACCCATCACTGTCCTTGGTGCTGAATTGTCTTCTGGTACATCATTCTATTCACCTCTTTCAGCCATACTCATTCTTAACTTCCATTGTAACCACACTTTACACTGTCCTTGGTGCTGAACTCTCTGGTATTGTATTATTCCCACATTCATGTTCTTTCTTTCTTAGCTACTACTGTAATACCCATCACTGTCCTTGGTGCTGAACTCTCTGGTATTTCGTTATTCCAACATTCATATTCTTCCTTATCTGCCCTTGCCAAAGTTGTCAGTTGTGCGGCTGTAATGCCGCATTACGTGGTCATTATCAGATCACTTCTGGGGTTACCCCGGCATTAAACTAGCTCCCACTGAACATTGGGAGTAATGCTAGATTGATGCCATGACCATTAATCATCATTAATCATCTTGGCCTTTTGGAGTGGGGCAGAAGCTGTTGCCTGATGTGATCTCCACCCCTGACAGCCTGCCTGACAGCTTGCCAGTGGGGATGGTCACACCAAATTAATCCTGTGCTCTTTGAAAACATATGTGCCTTCTAGGAGGTGAAACATAATCTGTTTTCTTTGAGCTGAAACACAGCATCATACATATCTCCAAGTTTGGCTTGTTTTGACCAAGCTACAGGAGTCTTTTCTTTGAATGTCTTTCAACCACTAAATCAAAAGGTCTAGGACCTGTTGGCCTGGGCGGATAGTGACTGCATTTGTATACATACAGAGCCTCCTACATGTGCTATGGGGAGTTGCAAAGGATGGTCTGATCTATCATGTGACCATGTATGGGAACATTCTGCTCCCCCCAGAGGTCATGTGACCTATGGGGGGAGCAGAATGCTCTAAGCTGTCTTGGTCCTACATTGTGTTCTCTCTCTCCACTTCTTGTTAGACATTTGCTACCAGGCACCACATTTTTTACCAAATGTCTTGAAATTTTAACAGAGCTTGGGAATATACTTCCACAGGTATTCTTGGTTTAATTTTTTGGATGCAGGCCCTAAAATAATTCAATGTAGCTTTTTTGTAAAAAAAAAATAGTCCCAAAAAGTATATTGTAACTTATTTGCTCCTGTGTCTTCATATTAGGTGAAATAAAGGACCTAAAATTTGGTATGAGGATAGTGGTTCATGTACAGTGTTGGTGGTTGAAGTATAATGACAAGAAGTCCTAAATGCAACTTCATGTATGTTCTTTTAGGTTGGAATTGCAACAGAATTTCTGAAAATATACCCTGTGTAAAAGGGGGACAAACTTCAGACTGTTTCAGGCCAGGCAGGTTATAGACTGAATTAGGTCAGTCAGGCCTGCTCAGAGGCGGTGGGACGTCAGTTGCTGACACAGGGATTGTTCTAAATGGTTGAGGATTGTGCTTACTTGAGCCTGGTGCTAATGTAAGGGTCAACCATAACCGAAGACTGTGACAGAGGGCATTAATGCAGGGGAAAGGCAAACTAATTGGTTCAAGGCACTGCAGAGTTGACAGTGGAGGGAGGTGCCTTGGACAGTCATAATCTACTGTGAAATTAGGCACTATACTGGCTGTAATGCAGGATGAATGTTTCAGGGGGTAATGCTGCATAGCAGACCACTTTGGCAAGGGTACTGTTGTAACACCCATCACTGTCCTTGTTGCTGAATTATTGTCTTCTAGTCTATTCAATTTACCTTTATCATTCATACTCTTTCTTAACTGCTATTGTAACCACACTTATTAACACTGTCCTTGGTGCTGAACTCTTGTGTATTATTATTAACGTCCTTTCTTAACTACTGCTTATGATTGTAATACCAACACTGTCCTTAGTGCTGTATTGCCTTCCAGTCAACATAACAGTTCTTCATGATATATTATTTGTTCATGTCTTATTTCCAAGGGGTATCTGTGAGAATGACCACCATGTCCTGGCCAGTATGAAGACTCTCCTCCCACAACTGTGCGAAGCTTACCTGAAGCTCTACAATTCTCAGGACAGGGAGTTCTTTGGCCTTCGAGACTTTTACAGGTGCAGTTTTGGATTTATTTAAAAAACTGCTCTGCTTGTATACACAAAATCATTAACAGCACTGTTAATGAATCTCTAAATTTTGAAAAACAGTTGTGTCTAATAACACTAAGGAATTTTGCCAAGACTTCCCACCGATGGATAAAGTTGTGAATGAAAATGTGGACTGCCAAAAAGCAGTTACTCAAACAACTGGATATGATTTTGGAAACGTCAGACGTTTCAGCTAGTATCCACTTGCTTTCGTCAGTCTCGTATTACCTGGATGTCTAACCTTCATCCACAAAAATTTTGACTATTTGATATTCATTGTAAGTTATGAACAAATTTTCAGAAACCTTTGTGGGTCATCAAGCAGTATGATTAAAAAAAGGTAAATGCAATCCTGCATGGCCTTTTTCAGGCTGTAGGGGCAGTCAGCTGTTAATCCACTGTGTCTTATAGGAAGGTGGAGTCCATCCCTCTCCTTTCACCACCGTTTACCTCCCCAACCAAAGTCAGGCTCCCATTTTGCACCTTTTTGGTGTGAGGAAAGTTGTGCTAAGTGCCCTTTCCAACGACACAATGCCTAGCGATTAGAACCAGTGACCTCTTGCTGTCAGGTCCGCTAGCCTAGCCACTTCACGATGGTCAAATTTGGGCCCAAATATTCCAACCTTTTAATCGAACCGAATCATGTTCGATATGACGTCATTTGAATCGAATCATGTTCGATATGACGTCAATCGAACCGAACGTTCGTTCGATCCGAGGTCACCCGCGGTCATGTACAGTAAACCCGCGGCTTCAAGCCCGTTTTTACACGGCTACCTCCTAACAGTAAAAAATCAAGTTTTTCACAAATATAAACCAATTTCGGGACAGTACATCTATGCCATGTTATAGTTGATATGTAACAAGTAACGAAGCTACTGCCGTCATCGTGTGTGACCTTGACGATGTAGTTGTTGTGTACTGGGATGTAAGTTACCCCCTGTACTTACTCACCCTGCCTGACATGCTTGCAAACATGGTATTTAAACCGCAACAAAAACAAATTCAATTTACCTCAGAAACGTTTTAAATTGTAGGCAAGACACAAATCTCGATCTGTGTCGGACGGATTTTTTAAAGATGGCGGCATTCTGGAATTATTGGTCTTTGAAGTTGAAAAAGTGCATTTTTGGGCGAATTTTTCGGCCTTAGCAACACTTTAACTTTGAAATAAAGAAAACTGTCCGACTCAAATCTTAATTTTGTTATACTGTTCTCTAAAATGCAAAAATGAGGGATTTTCTGGAAGATTTTGGGTCGGTTTAAATCATTTGTTTGGTTATTGCCGTCGATTGTTCTAGAATAAGCATTCGACGATTTGAGACTGATTTCACCCACATTTAAGCATTGTAATAAAAACAACAACATTTGGGGTATATGCAGTGCTGATTTTATCACATTTGGACAATGGAGTCCCCGTGAAAATGTTAATTATTTCTTAACAGAATGTTAACCGTTGAGACTGGCTCCACGGAAGCCGCGCGTGGAACCCCGGTAACCTGATACCCCTCCGTAGAATTGGAAATTTACCCTAGAAATTGACCGCCATGCTTGGCTATTCGACACCACAGCAGAATGATTGAAACATATACAAACATATGCATACAATGAAACATGCATAAGATCTAAATGCTATACACTCAGTCTAATGTTATACACAGTGAGTGTTAACATCTAAATGCTATACACTTAGTCTATTTTTATACACTCAGTCTAAATATTGGCCATGTTTTCCTTCCAGCCTGGTGAAGATGGTGTATGGTTTCTGTAAGACATCCGAGAGACCCCCCACCAAGGCTCAGGTGGTCCATGCCGTCCTGAGGAACTACGGAGGCAGGGATGATATGGACCCACTGCAGAAGTTCGAACAAGTGCTAGGGACACTCCCAGATGACAAGGTGTGCATTTTTCATTTGTTTATTTCAAGTTTCCATATATTACAATGGAGGGGGAAGCAAATCAGATGATGAAAAGTACACATGAAGATTTACAGTGCTGTACGAACAACAATACCTAAGGTACATGTATACACGATTAGACAAATAATGGAAACATCGATAGATAATCTACCAAGAACATGTAATCTGAACCAGCTCAGCATAGCCTTGTTGGCATAGAAGTGCCACACCCCACAAATTGAGCTCTTTAGGCTGTAAATCTCTCTAAACCTGTGATGCAAATGGTACAACAACTTGCCTTTGAAATCTACATGTGGTTGTTCAGAGATGTACACTCATCTACATGTATATGCCCATGACTCTGAGATATGAAAACACAGGAAAAATCATGTCTATGTGGCATGGAATTCAGTATAGAAATGCATGCAAACATCATTCTAGATGACAAAGTTAAGTAGAAAACTGGAAATGCTTGTGCTGTGTTGCAAGTATCTGTAATTTTTATTTTGCACCTTGTACAATCCAGTTTGCATTTTCACAATGATTTTGTTGGCATGAGGAGTTTTGAGTGAATATAGGAAATGTTTGTTGTTGCTGCAGCATGCTGATGACCCAGACTGCACTCCAAGTGGTCTGATCCGAGCAAGTGTCCAGGGCATGCACTGTGAAGGGTAGGCTTCAGTCAGACATGTGTAACCTTGTTGTTAATATGTTTAATGCACATTTGTAACATAATAACAGTACTAAAAATTAACAAGAAGCCATAGGCGACAATTCTCCGTGAAGTTTTATATATTTCAACAAAATCCCAAGCGTCAACGCCAGACCTACTGTGCAGACATTATAATTAGGCAACGGTTAATACCACGCTCGTCCCCAGCGCCCGTGGAGAAGCCATAGGTTATAGATCGTGGCTTAGCCCAGGCTATGGAAAATAAACTTTCTTTAATGCAAATCTGTCGTTTTTGTTTTCTTTGCGCTATCTAAAGGGTTAGGATAACCTACTCTACTCTGGCGGTATTGTCGTGCGCGCTCGCTAGTACGTAACGTTACACGGCGGCCATCTGAATACATGTACACTGCATTCTTTCTACTATCGGGACCTAAAACAAGACGCAAGATTCCTATTTTGGGGTATAAAATGCTGTCACAATGGTAATATATACCAAATGAAACGGACCTTTACAAAGTACCTCATTTGGTGACGCTATGAGGGTGTACCGTTATCCCTCTACATTTGCCCAGAAGGGAGTTAGTCGCGGAAGGAACTTAGCCACGGAGGGAGTTTTGGCATTCTCCGCCCGCGCCACAAACTCTCGTCCCCAGGACAGTTCACTCTGCTACCCCGCATGCTTTGCGCAAAATGCGTTCTCGGCCCGAGGACACAAATACACGCTAATGCTTCCGCACTGTGTTGCTCTGGGGACCCCGCCGCGCGCCCAGATGTGGATTTAATTATAGCGCGCTAGCGGACGCTGCGGAGGCAATGAGGGCGCGTCACAAGCATAAAACATACAAAGAGCTAAATCCATTACTGCTCCCAGGGCGTGTAAAGATACTGTGCTTCAAGTTCTAACTTCATTTTAATTACACACACACAATCATTGCATTCACATAAAGATCGGACTATCATGGTCGTGTCTAGTAACAAAGACAGCCCCACCGTCTTACGGTGCCTGTACCTAATTAAGCGCGCCTGGAACAAGCCAAATTCCAGCAACAGTGGCGGTAAGCACCGCGAGTGTTACTACCGCCGGCCAGATAACCAGGATATCTGCTTACAGTACCTCTGCTACCAGACAACTGCCTAAACCTACGGTCTATTCCACAGGATTGTAAAAGTAGGGATGTTTCGAAAATAACCATTTACTCCAATATCAAAACAGCTACGGTAAAAATAAAAAGACGTGCATCATCCCGGACATAATGCAACACCACATGCGAAATTACACAGATATGCGACGTACGGCAGAATGCGTTTTGGCTGCGAACATCTTCCAAAAAACTTGGCATCTCTTAACCATGGGCAAAAACATCTGGAACCACTTATAAAAACCACCCCGTATCTGCATGAACTTTTACCTCCCCCCCCGCTATTCCAAACAACGCGTTTTTCTGGACCGTTCCAATTCGCCTCGTAATTGTAGGGGTGCGTCTGCGATATTACATTGACCGCGAAAGCAGCAACGGCAAAAATACACATTCGTGCATCAACACGGGCATGCCCGCAGACGGCGTATAAAATTGCGTGCCGATTACACGAAGAGAACCCAGTGTTTTGACTGCGAACATGAAAAATCAGCCGATTACAACACTCCGTCCGGAGGTCCTGACCTCCTTCACGGAGTAATAAAAACATTTGCACAAGGCCATTCCCACTTGCTTTTTTGCCTTGGGTTACATTGTAGCTCCCTACCGGGGTGTTTTATCCCCCTGGATTTTCTGTGCTAGGGTTTCCATACAGGGTTTTCCTTTCCCGTGATTTACATTAAAAATACAGATTCTTTGCATGGAACGTAATCCTTACAAAATTATGTTCTGAGTGGTCCAGTTTGTAGACTAATTTTGTAATGATTTTGGAAAGACGCATATTGTTTCCCACTGCTATAACCAGAACCAACATTTTCTTTGGTACTGAACTGTCTTGTGGTGTCAGTGTTGTTATTCAATTCTTATAGCAACACCACATCCATTTGTTGGTTCTCCACACATTAAAACACATTTAACTAAAAAATTATAACAAAATGTAGTGATGACAGAAGTTACTGTGTATGGAGGCATCTGAGTGAATTAACCATTGTATAATAACATTGCTGAGGTGAGAATATTTTTGACAAAGGAGTGAGTTAACTTCCTTCTTCTGGCATAAAATATGTCCACAGCAGATCCACAGTGGCAAATGAATTACATGTAGTATGGCCTAAATACTAATTATAACCACACTTACACTGTCCCTGGTGATGAAATGCATCATCCCTACACGCATACTCTTTCTTAGTTAGGTACTAGTACTGTGGTACATGGGGATACTCACACATGCTAATTGTTGGTGACTTCAACTATCCAACTATCACATGGAGTGAAGGAGGAGGTACTACTCGCACAGACGAGAGTGAGGCAGGGAGATTCCTGGAAGCAACAAGGGATGCATACTTATTCCAACACGTCACATTCCCAACAAGGCATCAACTACATCAGGAAAGTAAAACTCTGGACTTGATCTTCACAAATGAGGGGGGCATGATTGCAGAAATCGATGCCAGGCCACCATTAGGGAAGAGTGACCACATTGTCATGTCCTTCACCTTCAAGTGTTATGCGGAAAGGACAAATACCTCAACTAATACTTACCAGTACCACAAGGGAAACTACACTAAAATGAAAGAAGAATTAAGTGAGGACTGGGAAAAGAAGTTGAACAACCTCAACGTCGAGGAATGCTGGGAAGTGTTTTCACACAAAGTAAGCAGTCGAAGAAAACATCCCCAAAACAAACCTACCCTCCAAAAGAAGAGGTCACCTAGCATGGAGAGACAGTGACACAACCTTAAAATTACGGAGGAAGCAAAAAGCATGGAAAAAGTACTCAAAGACCAGAACACATGAGCACCATGCTAAGTATGCAAAAGCACGAAATCAAGCTCGCTGGGCAACAAGGAAAGCTCTGAGAAATTTTGAAAAGGACTTGGCAAAGAACATCAAGATGAATACAAAGCTGTTTTGGAAATATGTGAATACAAAAACCAAAACAAGAGAGTGTATACCAGACATAGTGGATGACACACATGAAGATCACACTGTTGTAGCAACAAATGACGATGAAAAAGCTGAAGTCCTCAGCAAATTTTTCGTCAGCACTTTAACCAAAGAGAATACCCAGTCAATCCCTGAACCGACACAGAGAATGTATGAGGAAGACCTCAACAGCATAAACGTCAGTGTGGAAGATGTAAGCCGAAGGCTGAAAAACCTGAACCCGAACAAGTCGCCGGGGCCAGACAACATCCACCCACGGGTATTAAAGGAAATGGCGGAGGTTCTAGCAACACCACTTCAGATAATATTCACAAAATCATTGGAAGAAGGAAAACTCCTGAGGGAGTGGAAGATTGGTCAATCAGACATATAACTCCCATCTTCAAAAAAGGAAGCAAGAAATCTCCCAGCAACTATCGCCCTGTAAGTCTTACTTCAGTAACAGGAAAAGTCCTGGAGGGAATCGTGAGGGATCGAATTGTGGACCATATGAAAAGCAATGAGCTGTTTACGAAACATCAGCATGGATTCTTACCAGGAAGGTCGACAGTGACTCAGATACTAGAATGTCTGGAAGACTGGACAAAATCTCTAGATGGGGGAGAACCAACAGATGTGATCTATTTGGATTTTCGAAAGGCATTCGATTCCGTGCCAATACAACGACTCCTAACAAAAATCGCAAGCTACGGTATAAAGGGGAAACTGCTACAATGGATTGCTTCATTCTTGTCAGACCGCAAGCAGAGAGTATGCGTTAATGGAGCGCTGTCAAGTTGGGCTGAGGTAACAAGCGGAGTACCGCAGGGAAGTGTCTTAGGACCAGTGCTCTTTACAGTCTTTGTAAACGACATGCCTGAAGCAGTAACAAGCCAGCTGAAGCTATTCGCAGATGACACAAAGATGTACTGCCCTGTGACCCAAGAAAAACACTGTGAAGAGCTCTAAGCGAACCTCTACAAACTAGAAGAATGGTCAACTAAATGGCAGCTGTGTTTTCATCCGGACAAATGTACAGTACTAAGGATTGGGTCAGGACATCCACCATATACGTACACAATGAAGGGCAAATCTCGTCTGATACCATTAAAATTTACCACGGAAGAGAAAGACCTTGGGATCATAGTTGACCGGGACTTGAGTTTTGAAAAGCATATTGCAAAAATGACAGCAAAGGCCAACCAGCTCACAGGTCTTCTATGGCGGACCTTTGAGTACATCGACACAGAGGTCTTCTTACTACTATACAAATCACTGATTCGACCACATCTTGAATACGGTGCACCAGTTTGGTCCCCACACCAATGGAAGCAGGCAGACCAAATAGAAAACGTACAAAGAAGGGCAAGCAAAAGGGTGCCTGGTCTAAGCAATCTACCATATGAGGAGAGACTTAAGGTGCTAAGGCTCCCGACACTGGTATACAGAAGAATACGTGGGGACATGATCATGACCTACAAATACATTCATAGGAAGCTGGACACAGAGGGTTGCCTACCAAAAATGCAAGAAAAAACAAGAACAAGAGGGAACAGCTTACGCCTAAACAAAAGATCAGTGAACACCAACAAAAGACTGTTTTTCTACAGCAACAGGGTAGTAACATGGTGGAACAGTCTACCTGAGGAGGTGGTGTCAGCCCCAAGTGTGAACAGTTTTAAAAATAGACTGGAAAAACACATGAGAAGTCATCCAGTGGTGTACAACCCCCGGGCACTGGACAACCCCCACAAGATGACCATGTCAACGCAGTAAACTACAAGGAGCGGCTCAAAGTGGAAGAGAACTTCCTACCGAGACGAAAGATCTACTCTACTCTACTCTATGATTATAACCACACTTACACTGTCCTTGGTACTGAATTTTATAATCCCTACATCCATACTCTTTCTTACATGTAGCTACTGTGTGGTGTAGTGGATAGAGCATCTGACCCGACTATCAAACAAGCGGACCCAGGTTCAATCCTCAGGGTTGGACCCAGACATATCCAGACGTTTGTCCTTGGGAAAGGCACTTAACACGTATTTCCCTCCTCAGTTAGAGGGATCCTGGTCCTAGCGTTAGGAAGGGCATCGAGACGTAAAAAAATCTAGCTTCAAAAAAGACTTGCACTTGATGCAAGCATGTCTAATACCCAGTTAAAGGGGAAAATGACGTTAAAATTGGATTTTAAAAAACTTACACTGTCCTTGGTGCTGAAAAGTCAATTATTCCTTTCTCTTCTTTTCCAATGATGTCCCTCCTTATTTAGAAGAAACTACTGCATTATGTATGGCACTGTATTGATATAGTTTACAGTCAACAATGAACAGTTGTCCTGCCCAATTGTTGCAGCCATTGCATTTCTAGCTACGTGATTTACTGGTTCTTGTTGAATGGCTCACATTGTTGATAAGTTGCTTCATGTTTAGATTTGCTTGGCTATCATAAATGATTGACTTCATCCATCTCCAGTGTTGCTGTTCTTCAATTTCTTGTCTAACTCTTGTAGGATGTTCCTTTGTCCTTACAAGTTTAAAATCCCACTGTTCCAGGGAGAGCCGTTACCTGATGGTGCTGACTCAGAACTATGCAGCGCTGGGGATCCTGCAGCAGGAGTTACTGTCCATGTCTGACACAGTCATCATCTTTGGCAGCAGTTTCCCTAAGGACTTGGAGTACACACAGGTAAGGGCACAGCTTCCCTAAGGACCTGGAGTACACACAGGTAAGGGCACAGCTTCCCTAAGGACCTGGAGTACACACAGGTAAGGGCACAGCTTCCCTAAGGACCTGGAGTACACACAGGTAAGGGCACAGATTCCCTAAGGACCTGGAGTACACACAGGTAAGGGCACAGCTTCCCTAAGGACCTGGAGTACACACAGGTAAGGGCACAGTTTCCCTAAGGACCTGGAGTACACACAGGTAAGGGCACAGCTTGCCTAAGGACCTGGAGTACACACAGGTAAGGGCACAGTTTCCCTAAGGACCTGGAGTACACACAGGTAAGGGCACAGCTTCCCTAAGGACCTGGAGTACACACAGGTAAGGGCACAGTTTCCCTAAGGACCTGGAGTACACACAGGTAAGGTAGCCTGCGTTACAAAATCTCTCACTGTCAAGGGCTGATTTGCGATTTCCCTAAACACTAGAGAGAAGCATGCCCATTCCCAGAACTAACAATGGGAACTCAGGATCCTCTGTCACTATAGAAACTCAGTCATCACAGCCTCCGACACTATGGTAACAGAGATTTCTCAGTCTGACAATAATTGGTCCATGTTGGCACATATGTATAAATCAACCAAATTAAGATGTTTGCAACTTTCCTGACGATCAAGTTTCTAAGGGCCTGACCCGTGGGAGGGCTGCTAGAAGTGTAATGCAGTCAGGCTAACAGGTAAGGGCACTACACAGTGTTTCAAGGATGGAAAGTTATGCCCATAAGCTGTGTTACCGGTAACTACAGTACAAGTTGTCTTATAGTACTTTACCCAAAAGTATTTTAGTATGGCATTGGAGATATTGGAAATCAAGTAGAGGCCAATGGGATTGCACTTAAGGAAATAGTTTGGTACTGTATGTAAAGCATTGTAATCAGATGTTTTTTCCTTTATACCAAACTGTATGTACATGAATGTGTACATCATGGTGTCCATCGAAAGTTCATTCTTGCATTGTAAAACACATGATGTACATTCTGTTTGTTGAGAATTAGATAATATTAATGCCTCACATCAATCAGTCGACATTTATGATCTCTTACCATGATTCTAGCTTCATCTGGTGTACACAATATTGAACTTATTTAATGATGGTTTGCCAGGTGTGTCAAAACATCAACCGTATCAAGGTGTGTATGGAGACTGGGAGGACTGTGGTGCTGCTCAACCTGGAGAACCTGTATGAGAGTCTTTATGATGCCCTCAACCAGGTAAGCAGGGATTCATTTTCATTTATCGTAAATTTAAAAATGAAATATTTATGGCAGCACGTCGGCAAAACGTAATGCGTCTGAGTGTGCAAAATTCCGATTTTTCAGTTTTCGTTGGACTTTTGGTCAATGTTACATCAGAATTTTGCCTGTTACAGACGATATATTTTCCAACACAATAGTTTGAAACTACAGGTGGGATGCTAACCTTATATACGCAAGTATGACCTTATATGAGATGTTATGCAAAAGTGCTATTCGTAGTTCATTGCGGGGTTCGCGCAGGTGCAGTATGTTCTGCTGATGTGCTATTTATGGCAAATAAGGTTTTAAATTAAGTAAATAAATTATTTAGAAAATTAAATGAATTAATTAAACCATACCTGGGCCATGGTAATGTTTGATATTGTGATAACTACCACAGGGTTCTAATGGTTATCATCACACAGGCTTGGAAAAGTTGTTTTGCATGCACTGCTTACAAAATTCAATACCGGATTCGGATGTTGGAATTGATGTTGTTTCAGTTTCAAGTGCCTTACATATTCACAGACTATGTGCTTGTTTGGTTTGATTGTTGAGAATCGCTATAGATATTACAATACGTATTTCAAGATGTACTCAGAGTGTTTTTCCCCCATGCAGTACTATGTGTACTTCGGAGGTCAGCGGTATGTGGATCTGGGTCTGGGCACACACAGGGTCAAGTGCCGAGTCCACCAAAACTTTAGGTAAAGCTAAGTTGTCAGTACTCTTTGGGGGACACATGTCATTGCTGCGGTTTGGGGGGCACAATTTGGCATCTAAGCTTCAGAAACATGTAAAATATTATGACAGTAAAAAGGTGGAAAAGTAATATGACATTGTGATTTGGACACCGTTTCTGTATACAGATAGGTTCTCTGGCTATCATCATCATCAGTCTTCCTCTTAGGTGTGGCAAACAAAGTTTAGATTCCAGTGCAGTCTGTCTTTCATTGCTGGAAGAAGCTCATGTCCTTCAATAATGATAATTATGATGATCAAATAGCAAAGGTTAGGGTGTTAGTTTTTAATCATTCATAGTACACCAATTTAATCAATTGCCTCTCAGATTTGCCCACTTTTTTCTGACTTCCCCCTAAAAATATTCAGGTTCTAAATCAACTACATTGTACATGTAAAAAGTTTGCATTGTTTTCCTAAATACAGTTGAAGAAAGTTCTAGTCCTCCTAGGTGTTACAGTAACTGTTTTCCAATCTATCAAATTGAATGTAGCGATGTCATGTGATAAAAAAGTTCAACTTTCAACAAAATACATCAACAAGTTGGATTGTTGTCTGTTATGTTGATTTTGTGGCTCCTGTTGTAGCATTTATGGCTATCATAGGATGCCTAGGCCTTTTTTTGCCCTGTTGCATCATATTTTCTCTGACAAAAGACCAAAAAAACAACTTGAAGAAAACCAAGTAGATTTGTTTAGCCATATTTACAATTCCCTCTCTCTCCCAGGCTGGTAGTTATTGCAGAGAAGGACATTGTGTATGAGAGGTTTCCCATCCCACTGGTCAACCGTCTGGAGAAGCACTTCCTGGCCATCTCCACTGTCCTGTCTCCCCAGCAGAAGGCCATCGCTCACAGACTGGAGCAGTGGGCCGAGGCTTTCACCACACAGAGGACTGCACCTCATGAAACTGTCAAGTAAGTTTGCAAAAAGTTTCATCTGGTTGGTGAATCAATTCAACATCGTTTTCTTGGGTAAGGTAGGTGAAAGTAGTCCCATAGCCTTTTTCTAGAGCAGTTGGTTGTTAGTACAATGTGTCTAGGGTGTGGTGTTAGAAGACGGAGCCCATCCCTCTTTTTCAACTGGCTTTTACCACCCCAATTGAAATCTCCGAAGTAGGAAGTTGCTGAAGGTATCAAAGCTCTTGGTCTTGTGTCTGCTGGCCTGACCATTCAGCAATTCAATGCTACTTTGGTACACAGCCTTATTTTTCCTTCTGCCAGCATTTTGGCCTATCAGCCACCTTCAACAACTTAAACTTTATTAATTCAATCTGATGTGCAGTAATGCAGTGAATGTAGCTCCTCATATTCCACCCCCAACCCCCCTAGGTGTACATTTCGCTCATCACTACTTCATACCGTGGCCGACAAGAACAAAATTTTACACCGCAACTTTTGGTGTTTTACACTGCAACTTTTGGTGTTTTACACTGCAACTTTTGGTGTTTTACACTGCAACTTTTGGTGTTTTACACTGCAACTTTTGCTGTGTTTTACACTGCAACTTTTGCTGTGTGGAAAACTTACACCCCTCCCCTTTTATAATGGACGGTCCCCCTGTCAGGTCAAAGGTGACAACGATGGCATGCAAACTACGTCGACTGAGTTATCCTTTTCGTGCATACGTTTTTTAGAGGAAAAGCTTGGCTACGTTGTGACGTTAGTTTTTTTCTAAAGGTTTTTCTAGCTTTGGCCTATAGATCGGGATAAATTTAAAAATGTTTCGACCAGGTCCAGTGATTACAAATTATGTTGCTTTTTGCTGCCATGCGTCACAACAAATTTATCAAGGACGTCAGATATCCAGCTCCAGACATCAACAGCAATG